CTGAGGCAGTTTGATTCCTGAATTGTAAGCAACAGAAACCGACTGAGATCTTTAAACACGATGCTTAGTTCTGTAGGAGGGATGTCAGCTGAATTCACAGTGTGCAGGAAGGCCAGAACATGGGTCTCAGGAACGCCACGGGGCGCCTGCATGTGGCGAGCTCCGCCCATTTCCCCATCGGTCACTCTGCTCAGGAACACAGCCCATTGGGCCAGCCACAGACCTGTCAGCTGCGTCACCTGGGGAAGAAGCAGGTCCCAACGTAAAATCTGGTGCTGTTGTCCATACGAGGTGGCGTCGAGGCTGGGTGGCCAGAGAGCTTCCTGTGGCCTCCCTGGGGAATGCCCTTGCCCCTTGGAATCCGTGAGGCCTTTGCAAAGACTTGGTGTTCCCCGGACAACTGGCCACTCCTAACAAAACTCCAGCAACTCGGCCTGGTGTCGTCTTTGTTTGCCACTGAGAGTCTCTAATTTCACAATTATTTACATGCCGCCGCAGCTCCAGGCAATACCAGGCCCAGGGCCGGACGTGAGAGCTGGCCTCGAGCTGGAGCTCTCATCCGTGGTGATGAGCATGTCCCTGCTTGTGCAGAGACGAGCCTGAAACCAGCAAGTAGTGGACTCAGGGGAGTCGGCCCAGCTTTCTGCCCTGCAAAGTCAGTGCTGGACAAGTTGTCGAAAGTCATGCACTGATAGGCTTTCTGTGCTGTGTCCAGCTGCAGCTGGAATTGTTCTGAAATGGATAGGGCAAGGTCATCAGGGGGAAGTGTGACTAGAAAGGAAATAGTCATTTTGACCAGAGGGCCACCAGGACCCTCTGGCCTTTATCAGCAGGTGTTTCCTCGGACTCTGCTGGGTCCCTGGCACTGTGTGAGCCAGCTGTCATTGTTCCCCTGGTCTTCCTTGGTGTGGTATGTAGTCACTCTTAGCTCTGTCTCTTTGACTACGAAATGGGAATAAGAGCAACGTTGTAGGATTCTTGTCGGTCTCGGGGTTTGAGCAGTGTCTAGTAATTGGTAGCCTAACTTTTGATCATAAACCTCCATTTTTAGTGAATTCTCATGAAACACTGTACTTCGGCTTTCTCTCCTAAATTCTCTGACCCTAGAGGAAATAGGGCACCCCCCTCCTAAGCCTGGGAGCCAGCCCTTGCGTTGGTACCCCATTTCCCGTAGTCCCCTAAAGGGTCATTGGCCATCTTAACGTATATAGATCTGAATCCATGTGTCAATTCCATCCTAACATACTAAAAATTGTTCACATTGTCAGGAGTGAAAGACGTGTTGAGTAATGCGAAGCGAGGTGGAAAGTCTGTTTACAACTCCATCTCACTGGCGTTTCCTGGGTCTTCTGGGAACCTCTACCCTTGACTCCAGCAAGGCTGTGGGGACAGCGGGTGCCGGGCAGGGTGGCTTGAATTTAACTTGATTCCCTGGTGTGCGGCGGGACGAGGCCCTTCTGGGACTGAGCTAGCATTTATAGCATGGTCCCTTTCTTTATAGAAGCCAACCTTGGCAGCAGGCCCAGCTAAGCTTTCCCTCATCTTCAGTGGTGGGGGTCTCGTGTGGCCCACTTAGAGCCTGGTTCTCAGCAGCCCTACACTGGGTACCCACTGGTCCCTGCGCCTCACGCAGGACACATGGGAGTCTCGCCAACTCCCACCACCCACCCACCCATCCCTCCTCAGCGTCCTTCCTCAGTTTGAGCTCCTCTGAGCAGTGTGACCCTTGTGCAGCTCCGTTTCCTGCTTTGCTGTAAAGGGCTTGCAGCCAGTATCCGAGCTTGGGGCCTCAACTGGGAAGCGCATGGGTCTCATGGACCAGCCTCAGCTGCATTCTGCATGCCCAGCCTGCACCAGAGCAAAGGGTGGGTTTTGCCAAAGAGAAAGGCGACCCAAGTCAGGGAGGGAGGCAATCACTAGGCAACCTGGAGTTTGTTTCCCAGGTAACCGGATGCATGCACTGATGCTGTGGATGGACATCTTGTGGTGATGGCCCCTCAGCCTCTCCAGATGCCTTGGATGGCTCTAGATGCCTGCCTGTGCCCGCCGTCGTTTTCCTGTGTGATTGCTTTCTAATTAACAACTTGGATTTCTTATCGTGAGTGTGAGCTCTGCAAACGCTGTCTGATTAACCCTCCTGGCACCACCCCCGGGAGTCAGGTCAGGGGGTCCCACGGGAGTCTGACCCTGGGCTTCGTAGTAGGAGTGGGAGGGGAGGAAGAATCTTTGGAGGAGCATGGGCCCTTTGGGGTTCGTCCATCTCCCCATTTTCTTGGCAGAGAGGCAGGGCAGAGGTAGGAGCTTTAGTGTGTGGACTCCAAGTTGGCATCAGCTGCCCCAGCTGCTTTCTCCAGTGGGGTACTTTACACTCTGTGCCTCAGTTTCCTCATCTGTTAAAGGGGATAGTTGTGCTGTCTCGAGGGAAATGAGAGTGTGTAGGACTCTACATAAATTACTGCTCCTTGCCTTCCCTCTCTGCTGAGTGGGGGAAAACGGGGGGGTCTCCAGGGGTCCTGTCTGAAGATGTCACCCTTGGTCTTTGGGGGACCCGTCTCTCGGTTTGCGTATACTCACCTCAGCCTCTCATGGGATGGAACTGCTAGTTGGGCCAAGAGGAACACTAGTAGGGGGCTCACTGGCCCCCCAATAACAAATGGATGCGTGCTGTGTGGGTCAAGGGCTGGGAAGGACGTGGGGGTTGGGGGAGCCCCTGTTCCCTCCCGTGACAGGATGTTGGGGCTCAGCTTCACTTGGATGCCCTGCTTTGGGGATCCTGGTCTTGAGAAGCGAGTAGGAGTTCAGCTGCCTCTCAGGCTGGGAGGGACCATGGTCACTTGTGAGCCCAGGATGGAGAGAAAGCCATCCAGAGGTCGCCTGTGCCCCCAGCCACTCCATCCCATTCTTCTGAAGCCAGGACAAAAGCCTTTTCTGTGCTCCATGTTCAAAGAGCTGCTTGTCCTGTGCTGCTGCAGCTGTGGCAGTGGAGCAGCATCCCGGGCAGAGGCTGCTGTGCAGCCATCATGTTGGCACTGCAGGGCCGTCCTCCCCCACTGTGTGCAGTGCGATCAGGAACGTGGATGCAGCTCCACCCAGGATTTCCTCTTGCAGCTTCTTACTCAAGTGGGCGACTAGTTGGGTAATGAGTCCTGGTGGTCAGGTAGGGGCCTCCCTCACACGTCTGGGGCCCCGACCGGCCCCCTAGGTGGCCATTTCAGGCTGCCAGGAGAGGACCCCTTTCGTGTGGTCCTGGGCTGAGAGGCAGAGGCTACGCAGATGAGTGTGGCCTGGGCAGACGGCTCCTGCTTTGTCTGCTGGAGCCTGTGCCCACTGCCTTGTGGTCACAGGCGGGCCCTGAGGGCCAGGCCCACAGGCTGGTCCCAGGAATATCACACGCTCCTGGCAGGGGCCATGGGAGCCCCATCGAGCCCGGTGGCCCAGATGACCACCATAGAAGAAGACAAGTAGATTGTGTGTGGGAGGAAGGAAACTGAATGGGCTGAGCCGGGCCCTGGTGCAGCAGCCATGATCAGAGTACCGACATCTGAACGCAGCGAACTGTCTGGTTCTTGCTTCTCATCTCTGATGCTAAAGATTTCTGATTCGACGAGAAAGCAGAAGTTGCCCCTCTTGGCCATCTCAGTGTTGTGGGCCCTCCTGAAGCCCAAGGATAGTTCTCATGAGGCCAGGAGGTGGGTCGTGGTGATTCGGCACTGGGGCAGGCAGTCAGGAGAGGCTACAAAATCCAAGACCTTCTGGTGTCTGAGTTTGAAGGGAATGGTTTTGATGGAGAAAATGCTGCTTCTCTTTCATCGAGAAGGAAGAACCTGGGGCTCCTTTCTGCCTCCTAGGCTGGTGCATCCGCCCTGTGCCTGCACCTCGTGGTGTGTCCACGTGGCGGAGGGCAGGCTATCCTCCCTCATTGGGTTGGAGGCTGTGGCACCGCCCTCTTGTGCATCCTGCAGGCGGCTGCGCTGGTCTGTGTGGAACAGCTAGAGGGTCTGCCCTTGGCAGCGTGTAGGGAGGACCAACCCTGCCCTGTGCCCCTGCAGCTGTGGGTGCAGTTATCCTTTGTCGGGCAGCACCAGAATGGATGCCCCCTCTGGTCCTGGTACCTGATGAGCACCGCTTGCTCTGTGGCCCTTTGAGAAATTCGTTTGTTCTCCTGAGTCCCGAACAGGCCGCCTGCCTTCGCGCCCACCTTCTCCACCACCTCAGACTAGCCCAGGCGAGAGCGGCTGCGAGCTGTGCCCGGAGCGCTTGTTTCCACCAGGGGTTTCTCCAGGCAGCTCCCGCAGAGTGCAGGCACCGTGACGTGTCCCTCCCTCTTCTGTTTGTTTGGAGGGGTAGCTAGTGCCAGGTGGAGGCAGGGAGGCCCAGCAGAGGGGCTGAGAGGAGGACTCCATTCCAGCCTTGGGGGAACTGTGGGCCTGGCCCCCTCGTGTGCCCTGAAGTCTCTGGGCCTTGGTCGTGGTCCAGGGCCAGGCAGATGGCCACCGTGCTGTCCCTGGTGGCAGTGGCAGTTGTGGGCGCAAACAGATTGCTAGGCCCGGGTTCCACATGGCAATGGAGTTAGCTCCACGGTGGCTCCTATTAGCTACGTATGAGGTCACTGGTCGAGGCCCAGGTCCCCACCTGGAACCCCCTCCCCAATAGGCCCGACAAACAGCATCTTACCTTCTGCAGTCCCTCTCGGTCTCCTTAGCTTGTCCCAGAATCCTTCTCCAGTGGTTCCAGAGTAACCTTTGAGCCCAGGGGAGCCAGGGTGGGAGGGTAGACCCCTCATCACTTCACAGGTTAACTGTCAGCCTGGGGAATAGGGACGGAGCTGTGGCGACAGTTGGAGTCCTGCAGACCTGACAGGTGTGGGGATCGGGGTGGGGCGGAGGCTCCTCACTGGGAGCCCCTGCAGGTGGAGGCAACCTGGCTGCTCATTGTGTGGTCCCATGGTGTGTGGGACAGGCCACTCGGCCCGCTCACCGAGTCCACCTCCCTCATTGCAGGTATCCGCCCCCAGATCATGAACGGCCCCCTGCACCCCCGCCCCCTGGTGGCGCTGCTTGACGGCAGAGACTGCACCGTGGAGATGCCGATTCTGAAGGACCTGGCCACTGTGGCCTTCTGTGATGCACAGTCCACTCAGGAGATCCACGAGAAGGTTGGCCCCCCACCCTGCCCCGCAGGGCAAGTACCCCCAGGTCAGGTGGCAGCAGCTGGCATTCAGCGAGCACATGCTCCACCCTCCTGACGGGTTTCCTCCTGTTTCCACCCTCAGATCTCCCCCTGGCTAGTCCTTCTCACTTCCCCCCAACGTCACCTCCTCGGACCTCCCTGTCCCATCCCCCGACTCCACTGTGTCACCCAGAATCACGAGCAGGCCCCTAAAGCACAACTAGAAGCCACTCATCCAGGGGGTGCTGTCGCACCTAGACCATGTCCTAGCTGGGCATTTTCCTACCGAAATCCTCTGCTGTGGGTTTGGGGGTGATGGGGGGCCTCCAACCTGTACTCTGCTCACCCTGTCGCAGGTGTTAAATGAAGCTGTGGGCGCCATGATGTACCACACCATCACCCTCACCAGGGAGGACCTGGAGAAGTTCAAGGCCCTGAGAGTCATTGTGCGGATAGGCAGCGGCTACGACAACGTCGACATCAAGGCTGCCGGCGAGCTCGGTGAGTGCACGGCCAGAGGGACTGGCTCACGCGACAAGAAGGCAGAGAGGCTGGTCAGAGAGACCCTTGCCAGGCACACTCCCAAATCCAGAGGTGGAAGGGTGCCTTCTGGGTTAGGAGGCCCCCTTGGTGCCTGTGCTGGCCAGGTGGGGCTGCCTCACATGGGAAGGACTCCAAAGCCAAATGAGCTGTGGGCCCTTCCCTGCAGAGGGGACCGTGGCAGTGGCCACACGATACTGTTGGCTAGCTGGGACCCATCACTAAAATACCCACGCTGGGTGCACAGCTCAGGGCTCCGGGGGAGGAGGGCTCCATTTCTGGGTCTCCTCCCGTCCTGGGATGGAGCCGTTTCCGAGGGCTGCTGTCCACCTGGGAACGTGCCCGCCCAGGTCAGGGCCAATGCGGGTGGACCACTGCCCAGCTGCTCCTGCCCAGCCTCTGCCATGAGGTCCAAAGAGAAGCAGGGCAGCAGATGCACACCGACAGGCAAGGCTCCTGGCTGCTTTCCGCAGCCCTAGCCACCTGCGCCCTGAGGGAGGGCCTCGGTGTGGTGGCCTCCCTGTTGCTGCTACTGGTGTGGACTCCATGTGCTCGGAGCGTTTGCAGAGGTTCCAGGAGCTGAGCACTGGGAACAGGGGCCCTGGGCTGCCCTGCTGTCTTGGAGGGCCCAAGAAGGTCTGGCCAGACAAGCCCCTCTGGTCACTCCCCTTGCTCTGTCTTTGAACCATGCCAGCCCTGCATCTGGGTGTCTGGGGCTCTGCCCTGCCTGGTGAGCACTGAGGTACCCAAAGCCAGGAGGCTGCTGAGGGGTACCTCAAAACAGCTAGGAGCCCAGGCCTCACAGCCTGCCAACCTTTGGACTGTGTTGAGGCCCTGATGGGCCTAACGGCAGCCTGGCCTGGTGCATGGGCCGGTGATCCATCCTCCAGCCCCCCTCCACCCTGAGTCAGCTTCTCAGCCCCCACTGAGGCCCCTGTGCTCAGGGGACAGGGTGGACACATGGATGCCTGGTGTCACATCTGAGCAGGAGCAGCCAGCATCTCATAGTCTGGCCGCAGCCCACGGATGCCCCCCTGCGCTTTTCAGCCATGGAAACCCCAGTGGGCTCCAGCCTCCTCTCCCGAGGTCCTGGCCTAGGGTTTTGAGTGAGGGTCTGAGGTTTGCGTTAGTTGTCAGTTCCCCCGCTTGAACTGGGGGCAGCACCCAGATTCCTGACCTACAGGGTGAGTCTTGGGGACCGGGAGCAGGGCAGAGGGGGCCTGACCATGGTGGAGCCTGAGAGGGGCTGAATCTGGTCTGACTCTTCGTACTGGCACTGGGCGATCTACAAAGTGACAGGTGGTCTGGGAGTGCGGATGCGGCAGGTGCCTGTCCCACAGGCGCATCCCAAAGGCAGAGGCAGCTGCTCCCCCCAGGACCCCTTCTTCCCTCCCCTGCTGCAAGTGGGGAGCTGGGCAGCACGTGGTGCAAAAGATTGAACCTGGTTTTTCAGGGAGTCACTCGGCCGCGGATGAGCCATCATCATCTGGGCATCAGATTCCAGACTCACTTGCGGGTCTGGGGAAGTGGTGGCCGCCCGCGTCCGCCCCGGGCCTTTGCTTCCAGCCTCAGCGTCACTCAGAGCCCCTCTTTGTTGCAACAAAGAAACTTGGGAGGATGTGAATCTTCAGAAGAATGTCTAATATAAACTAAAATTTTCCGTTTTTTTTCGTGGCACCAACAAGAGTTATTTTTGTTTGAAAACAAATGTTCTCTGTGCTCTTGGAAGCACTGTGATCCCAAGTCTGAGCAGTGACAGAGACTATGGCGTAAGGGGCGAGGGGCTCCCATGTGCTTCCCTTCGCGCGCCTGCCCCTCGCCACCCGGCTCCTGGCAGCACCGCAGCCCGGCGTCGCGTGAGCTGTTCGTGCTGAGTCTCCTTGACGGGAACCAGCCACTCCTTTCCAGGGAGAGACGGGAGGTTCTCGGGAGTGAAACTTCCCGTTTCTTCAGTTGCAGCAGCTCACCGAGCAGACAGTGGTGGGCTGGGAGCAGAATCTCATTTCCCTAAAAAACAGCAGAGCTCAGCTCACTCAGCCCTGTGGCTGCACTTGGCCAGGAGCCCCTGGGGGAAAGGGTGTGATCCCAGCGTCCTGCAGCCCACCGAAGACGGCCAGGGCCCACAGGTGTGAAAGATGTCAGGGGTGGCAGCAGTGGTGTGTCCATTGGTCCTGGCCCAGTCTCATAAGGGAGCTGCCTGGGAGACATCTGCTGGGCACTTTGAAGGGCAGTTTTCAATGTTGGGATCTGGAGAAGGAAAGTAGGCCTTTGTCCAGGCGCCCTTTGTCTCCAAATGCCCTGTACCGATCGTCCGGGCAGCAGAGCTTCTGTAGTGAGGGCGGGACAGAGGGCCCCTCCTGGGGAACGGTGCAGGGGGTTCCTGTTCGGGCCCGGGTTCCATGCCTGCAGAGCAGCTCCCTCTCCAGCACACACTGGAGCCCCTTCAGGAGCCCTCCAGGGGCCCTGGGCTCCCACCTCCAGCCCGGAGATGATGAGCGAAAGTCCATGCTTTGTGTTCAGAGCAGGGCGAGGCTTGGGAAACGACCGTTTGACCTGCCTGGTGGAGGGGACAGGACCTGGAGCTGGTAGAGGGATTCTTCCCGTCTGCAGTGTCTCCCCAGGAGCCACGGAGGAGCAGGGCCTTGGGAGGGTGCTGGAGGCCCAGGGCCCGAGCACACCTGCTGTCACTCTGCCTGCCCTCCTAGCAAGCTCGTTGGTCTGATTTCCAGTCTGGTCCGGTTCAGAAGGGGTTACAGCAAAGAGTGAAAGTATTGACAGTGAGAGAAAAAGCAGCTCAGCTCTTGGGCTCAGGCCTTGGGGTCCATGGAGGCTGGTGGTCTTGCTCTGTGAGTGCTAGAAGCTGGTCCTAATGAAATTTGGAGAATCACCCTGAAGGCAGACCACACCCAGGGACCTGAAGAATGGTTTAGAAAGTTCTGCTTCAAGAGGGCCATCGGGTTATGGAGTTTTGGGAGGAAGGCACCGATGCTATCCAGGCAGGATGGACCAGCCAATGCCAGCAGCACCTCCTTCCAGTCCTTGGTCCCACCCGAGCCCGTGCACGCTCTCCCGGTCCTTGGTCCCACCCAGGCCCGTGCACACTCTCCCACTCCCATGCACACTCTCCCGGTCCTTGGTCCCATCCAAGCCCGTGCACACACTCCCGGTCCTTGGTCCCACCCAGGCCCGTGTACACTCTCCCGGTCATTGGTCCCACCCAGGCCCGTGTACACTCTCCCGGTCATTGGTCCCACCTAAGCCCGTGCACACTCTCCTGGTCCTTGGTCCCACCCACGCCCGTGTACACTCTCCTGGTCATTGGTCCCACCTAAGCCCGTGCACACTCTCCCAGTCCTTGGTCCCACCCAAGCCCATGCACACTCTCCTAGTTCTTGGCCTTAGGCTCACCATACAGGCACTGGAGCCAAGTAGCTACGTTTCAGAGTTGTGGTGTGAAGGCTGAGAGGTGTCCACCGCCCCCCCTCCCCGGGTCGGGTGATGGGGTGCCTTATCTCACGTCTTCCTGCAGATTCTCACATCCAGCCTCCTCTCTTCTTGTCTGCCAAGGTGTGGCCAGTCCCCTGGGCCCGGGTAGTTGGCTGAGCTGCAGCAGAGGGTCCATACTCAGCTGGACCTTCCCACTGGGCTTTAGCCAGAATAAATGGAACCCCTCAGAGGAATGAAAATTGTCCCCAACTGCCAGAAGATTTTCTTCAACCTCTGGCCTCTGCCTCCGTCCAAACTGCAGTAATGCCGTGGTCTCTAGCCCAGCCCGAGTTTTATGCTTGGTTATTTCCAATGAAGTAGGCCATGTTGTGGGTGTTCTGCAAGATTCCTGTTTTCTAGCTTGTGGGAAGTCTGCCAGCCCAGATCTCAGTTAAACAATTGTCTCCTGCAAGGTGGCTGTGGCCGCGTGGGGTGGGTGGAACGATGTGCTCATGGCTGCTTTCACACTCTGAGCTGTGTGTCCTCCTGAGGGGCTCACTGAGACCCCGGACCTCGGGGCAGCCCTCATGGGGTGGCGACACAGGTGCTACAAAGGGGGTGCTCAGCATGGGTGGTCCTGTTTCCCATTCAGTGGAGCCTCAATTGCCATGGTACACCGTGCCCCCGTCCCCCAGCTGGAGGACATAGGGGACTGCAGGGCTGCCTTACAGGTGGCCCAGGCTTTCGTCCCTGGGTGTTGTCCCTCCTGGGGTCCCAAACCCAGGATTAAGAGGGAGCCGTTTGAGCTGAGCGACATGCTGCCCAGACACCTGTGCCCCTCCTCAGTGATCTGCTTGCCTGGCAGACCCCAGCCTGGCTTCTTCCTTTGCCCCGCCACCGCAGACCCCCATCCCTGGTGAGGCCCCTCTGCTCTCTGCTGCATCCCCGTCCTCGCCAGGGGGAGGGGGCTGGATCCAGGCCTGTGGGGCAGCAGAGAAGGGCTGTTCCTGGCCTGGCTCTCTGCATGTCTATGCCCTTTCCAGGTCTGGCAAATGTTCGCATTCCTTCCCCAAAACACCCTCCCACCAAGGAGGGTCAATGGCCGGGCCCTTCCTGCCTGAGACTTGGGGTAGTTCCCCCTGCAGCCCCTTGCCATGGGCCCCCCAGGCTGGGAGACTCTTGGCCTCATCTCTGTTCCTCACGCGGAGCTGAGCTGCTCTCAGCCCCCACAGCTCTGTCACAAAGCAGGCCCGGCGCCCTGTCCGCTCTGCTTTCCTTCTGCCAGAGCAGGATGGTGACCAGGGCCCATGGTGAGGTGGAGGGGTTGAGTTCTAATTCTGTTGTCTAACGTTATTTTGAAACAAGTAATAATGCGTTCATTACATTAGACTCTTAAAATACCATAAAACAGAAAGCCGGTCTCCATTACCCCCGCCCAGCCCCAGGAGGAGGATCCTGGAGGGGCTGCTGTGAAGAGTCTCTGCTCTTCTGGACCCCACGGCCCGGCAGGAAGGGGCCTGCACACCGGCTTCCTGTTGCTCTGCGCCCGCTCTCAGAACAAGGGGACCGGAGCTGGGCACTGTGACAGGTTTCCAGCTTCTCGGCACTGGCTGTGGACAGTGGTCAGAGCTGGCCGCTTCACCCCTCCAGCTGCCCACTGCTCACTTCCCTGAGACAGACCCCAGGATGAGGGGTCACGGGAGCCGGGAGAAAGCTGCGCACACCCCAACTCAGACCACCAGGAGCTGGGCTGGGGTGAGGCAAGCCCCGGATGAAAGGCCTCGCTGGGGATGACGTGGGGGCTAGAGGGCGCTGAGCAGTAGAGCCAGAAGGCCTCTGTCCCCTAGGTGACAAGCAGGCCTCAGAGACCTGACCTGCCCAGGGCCGCACACCCAGTTAGTGGCTCAATGGCCAATTCTGCCTTCCCCATCCCCCAGCTGGACTGGGAGCCCTGGAGCTTCCCCCAGAACTGGAGGGTCCTCATCACGGGGCCTTGCCCTTGTCCTTTCCAGGGATCGCCGTGTGCAACATCCCGTCCGCGGCAGTGGAAGAGACAGCCGATTCCACCATCTGCCACATCCTCAATCTGTACCGGCGGAACACGTGGCTGTACCAGGCGCTGCGGGAAGGCACGCGGGTGCAGAGCGTCGAGCAGATCCGGGAGGTTGCCTCGGGAGCAGCCCGCATCCGTGGGGAGACCCTGGGCCTCATTGGCTTTGGTACGTGCGGCTGTCCCGCCCCATCCCCCACACCACCAGGGCTGGCCAGGGACCCCTTGGGAGAGGCATATCCAGCCCTGCCCTGAAAGGGCCCAGCACTGGCCCGGCCCCTGGAGTTGAGGTTCATTGCTGTGGTGCCTGTGAGAGGAATCCTCTGTCAGCCAGAGGAGAGCCAGTGCCCCCCATCCCGGCAAGCTGCATGGGGTGGGAGGTCAGAGGTCAAGACTGATCAGAGAACTTCCCCAGAGGTAACAGCTAGGCTACTTCTGGAGGAACAGCTCTGATGTGGCTGGGTAGAGAGGACACAGCAGGAGGGCTGTGCCTGCTGACTGCCCTGGGCAGAGGGAGAGGGTGCAGGGCACAGGCTGTCCAGAGGGGCCATGCGGAGAAACGAGCAGGCTTGGGGTTCGAATAGGGGCTGGCAAGTGAGCGGAGCCCTGGGCAGTGGGCGAGGCACTGAAGGATTTTGAGCCAGAAGGTACAGGCTCAGGTCATTAGCTTGGAAAGCTTCCCTGCGAATGGGGACAGGAAGAGGTCTTCCTGGAGTCAGTCAGCTGTTGTCCAAGGTGGGACACAGCTGGTGGCCCTGGGAGGGCCTGGGGCAGGTTTCCAGGAGCGGGCCAGCCATCATGGAAGGCCACCTGATGCACGGCTGTTGGCAGCATACAGGCTTGAGTAGGGCCTCCACTGCGCGGACCTCAACCCCCACCTGCTGGCCCTGTGGCCTTGAGGATGTTACTTGACTTTTGTCTGCCTCAGTTTCCCAAGATGTAAATTGGGATTGAAGTGATACATGGCTGCCTCTTAGGACTCAAAGAAGGCGTGAGAAGCACATGGGTGGGTAGTAAGGACTGGGCCTAGCTTCCGGAACGTCCCCCAAGCTGTCACTCAGCCCTTAGCTCAGAGCTCCGTGTTCCCAGAAACCTGAGGGTCAGGACTCCTCACCCCGCAAGTCCCTGCTCTGGGGGCCTGGGTGCCAGCTTGAACGAGGCAGGAGGAGCTGGGTCTCCTCCAGGAGTGCACATCTTTCCAGCACCTGGGGTCCGAGTGGAGAACCCAGGTATCGGGGGTGATCACGCTCAGGAAGCTTTTCTGTTAGAACTATTTACAGAGGAGTCTGCAAATGACTAAGAAATGCAGCTGCGCTGTGAGAGCTGCAGCGCCCTCTGCTGGCGCCCGCCTGGCTTCCCTCCCTCTGGGAAGTGGCTCTCAGAGGTGGTTCTTAGGACTTCACACCACCGTAAGCCGCTGCAGAGGTGGGGCCCTCGGGTGGGCTCTGGGCGGGTTGCAGAGCCTCAAGTTGTGAGGGGCCCACACATGCTGGCACCCTCACTGGCAGAACACCTGTTTCTGTGGCTTCTGACTGCAGCCATCATGGCAAGTTCTTACCGGAGTTTCTTTGGCTGTGCCCTTTGCCACCCATCTTTTGGAGGCGCTTACCAGTCTCCTGAGGCCAGTCCCGGGGTTTCAAACCCTGTTTGCTGGAGACCGTAAGCCAAGCACTGCTGCAGTCTCAGATCCCCATACACACTGATTGTGTTGTCTCCTTGCTGCCTTTTCAGGTCTCTCCCTAGCCTTCCAGAACTCAGACGGGAGGAGGCACGGTCACAGGCAGCCTAGCCACCACCCTGTCTGTTAGGGCTGAAAGCGCTCTCTTGCCTGGGGCCCTGAGGAGCAGCGGCAGACCCCGGGGGTGGGCCGAGCCCACACCGCAGTGGAGGGGCCTGTCGGGGAAGGCCCCTGCTGGTGGTGGGATAGTGCTCCAGCACAGCCTCCGGGTTGGGAACATGGACAAAAATTTGAAGGGAAAACCAGCCAATGCTAACAGTATTTTAAAAAAACGGTAGAGGCAAGATAATTGGGTTCTCCCTCTGCAAGGCTGGGTTTTGATCAAGTCAGTAACAGAATTAAGTAATTAGATCTTGTAATATTTAGTCAGGAAAACCTCATGGCCAAAGCAGAAGCCAGTGAGGAGATTAGGGTTTGTGATGCCCCCAGGAAGTAAGGCCCCAGCAGAGTCAGAACTTCTGTGCTGAAATCTGGGCTTGGCACCTCAAGCCCCTGGAGCCGCAGCTGGGAGGCCCCGTCTCGAGTTAGAGGGTGTGAGGATGTGGAGGAAAGCAAGGCGGCTGAGGGCCGTTGAAATGGGGGGAGGGGAGGCATGATCGTGTTGAGTGTGAGCTCCCGGAGGCCCCCTGATAGGGTCCCATATTTCCAGCACATCATTGAGGGGGTCGTCGCTGCCGCTCTGCCCTCCATCCTGCCACCATTCATCGCGCCGGCTCCTCTGCCGCTCTTTTGGGGTGTGTGCCTCTAGTTTCGCTGTGTCCAAGTGGTGACATTGAAAAGGCATGACATGGGAATGATGGCCCACCGATTACCCTGCGGCTGTGCTCTTGGTCAGAATGGCCTTATTAAACCTTTGCCTTCAGACCACAGCAGCCGTCTCTGTCCTGCCCAGTTAGATCACAGGTCAGCAGGGGCGGGGACAGTCACTCTCACAGGCATCCTCTTTGGGAAGGTGCGTCTTCCCATGTGCTCGTCTCTCCCCTAGCACATTTGGGCAATGGTTTTAAACAGAGATTTATTCTGTGCTCTTCCCAGATCACCCCATTCAAGCATCACTCACACCATTTTGTTTTCAAGCTGAAAACTGCCCCGGGAAGCGAGAGAAGCTGTCCGTGAGGATTGATGGGTCTGTGCAAATGAGCGGGCCGCTCGGGAATCGGGGCTTTCAGCTCCTGTTAGGTGCGTCGGTTTCTAACTTGCCGGAGGCCCGGGCTGCAGGCCGGAGAGAGGCCCAGGGCATGGCCTGCTCACCCGAGAGGTAGCCTGACAGCCCCACGACCCCACCTCTCCACCGCAGCAATTTCCCACACCGAATGGTGCTCAGACCAAACTGCAGGGGTCAGTTTTGATCGTTTTACCCTTTCTAGGAGCAAACCCAGCAGTAACTAGGCAGGAGAGCTTCCCTGTTAGACACGGAGAGCAATAAAGACATGAAGCTCAGGTTAAGCAGCCTGCCGTGTAGACAAAAAAAGTAGGGGAGGAGAGGGAATTACAAATGGGGGAATACTGGTGATGGGTGAAGCTGGGGAGGGCTCGTGGAGCTCACTAGATCATTCTCTAGTTGTGTTTATGTTTGAAAATGTACGTACTAGGAACTTAGAAAAAACAACTTGTGGCCCATCCAGACAACAAACACTGCAGTCCTCACCCAGGAAGCTCGGCTTCGCTTCGGCCCCAGTGGCCTGGGGAGAAGAGCTGGCCTCGGGCGTCAGCAGGCTCCAGGCACGTGGTTCCTCTGATCGGTCCAACTGCCAGTGGGACAGCAAGCCCAGGTGCCAGGTCGCAGAAGTGATGGCGGCAGCAAGGCTGGGGCACCATTCAAGGCCCCAGCATGGGAGTGCCGAGCGCCGGCAGGAGAGGCCGGGGACTCACTCACCTGGACACTCTCTCTCTGCACAGGTCGCACGGGGCAGGCGGTTGCCGTTCGAGCCAAGGCCTTTGGATTCAGCGTCATATTTTATGACCCCTACTTGCAGGATGGGATAGAGCGGTCCCTGGGCGTGCAGAGGGTCTACACCCTGCAGGACTTACTGTATCAGAGCGACTGCGTCTCCTTGCACTGTAATCTCAACGAACATAACCACCACCTCATCAATGACTTTACCATAAAGCAGGTAATTTGAAATCGGTGCCCTCAGAGCCTGGAAACTTCTATCAGAATGAAGGGGGCGGGTGGAAACGGTCCGCGGACACACCAGCAATCAGGGAGGAAAGTCCCCTGAGAGACGTCAAGCATGGAGCTAGGTGGGCGCCCCTCCGTGGGATGGGCCGTGTTGAGCAGGGAGGGACAGGAGCTGGCCCAGGACCCAGCAGGGGCCTGTTCTAATCAAGCCTGGCCTCCCAGAAGCAGTAGGTAGGTGACAGGTCACAGCGCCAACCTCCTGCCTTGTGGCCTCTCTCAGGATCAGCAGAAGCTGATCCCTGGCCTCCAGCTGTCGCTGAGACCCCACACTCCTTTCCCCCGAGAACTGCCGCACACGCATCGAACAGCCAGACCAACAGACTGCCTCTGGTCCGTGGCTTTCTTCTTTAAAGCTCGCTACGGGCGTCCCCGAGGCCATGGCATCTATTTAACCAGCCTTCCTTCCCCCCACAGATGAGGCAAGGAGCGTTCCTAGTGAACGCAGCCCGCGGCGGACTGGTCGATGAGAAAGCCTTAGCCCAAGCCCTAAAGGAAGGCAGGATACGAGGGGCGGCCCTCGACGTGCATGAGTCAGAGCCTTTCAGGTAGGTCTGGCAGGCCGCCAAATGTTTGCAGCCCCAGCTCCTCCTGGGAGTTGCCAGGGCCCGCTTCCACACCTGTCCCACGCTTTGAACATGAGGCACTTTCCCAGAGAAGCAGGGCCTGGGTAGGAAACTGGAGACAAAGTTTATAGCATCCGTTCTTCTAAGGGCTGTGCTGTAGGCTCATTAACTGTAAAAGGGCCAGAAGGTCCCCAAAGCTGATCAGAAAGTGGAGAGGCAGAACACTGGGGTCGGGGTGGGCATGGCGGTGTGGTCTGCAGGCGAGTGGGCTTCCTCTGTACCCTGGACTGTTACTCTGGTTGCAGGCAGGCAGGCCGGCCCTCTGTAGAATTGTTCCTTCTGAGGCCCTGATTACTCCTGACATTATAATTACAGAACAGTTTTAATAAGTATGTTCTTAAACCCCCAACCTTTCGCAAATACACTACAAAATGCCCCTCGATTTTATCTGTGTGTAGCCTATATTCCACATGGCCAAGAGCTAGCTCCCTTTTGATGAGTAATGGTGTGCATTCCACGTTTCTCATTTACTGTGTTTTTGTACATTTATCTAGCTTTGCTCAGGGCCCCTTGAAAGATGCACCGAATCTCATTTGTACACCCCACACAGCCTGGTATAGTGAGCAAGCTTCGCTAGAGATGAGGGAGGCAGCTGCCACCGAGATCCGCCGGGCAATCACAGGTGAGTGCGCTGGCCTGCCGAAGGGCAGCTGCCTCTGAGCGGGGCCGGACACATGAACACGGGTCCAGGGGCTCAGCACGGGCAGAAATAGTTTCTAGGGGTCACGTTGATTAAATTTTGAATGAGTTGGGCCCTGTTTATGCAAGCCCCGAACTAAATTTCAGTAGAAACCAATTCCATCTTCTATCACCCAAGGTGAGTCTTGCCAGCTGTGGAGAGTGACCCCCAGAGGGGGCAGAAGCGGGGCTCCTTTCTCTTCTGGCTGAAGGCCAGTGTCAAAGAGCTCAGTGTTGAGCCTGGGACATTTCACCTTTTACGAAAATCCAAGGGCCGGCCCATTTTCTTACAGCGGGAGAGACTTTACAACAAGACTTCCATCAGTACAAACATTGGAACTTACTTCCCTCAGTAGCAGCTACTAAGTGTAATATTTAACTTATTGTGACCTTAACAAATACATATGATTAATTTTAATCATCTTTTTTCAGGTCGCATCCCAGAAAGCTTAAGAAACTGTGTGAACAAGGAATTCTTTGTCACAACAGCGCCCTGGTCAGTAATAGACCAGCAAGCAATGCATCCGGAGCTCAATGGTGCCACATACAGGTGAGGAGAAGACCGGGATCTGGCGGGGCCTTGGTGCCGCTCCCCAGTGGGGGCAGGGAGGAGAGGCAGGAACCTGGGGGTTAACGCAACCTGAGCGCTCGAGGAGACCGTCCACTGTGCTCTCAGCTCCTCCGCTGCCTCATTTTCCTGGAACAGACATAACTGCCAGGAGACAGCCTAGAACTGGCGTTCGTATTTTGAAAGGGGGCAGCGGTGGGAGTGCATTCCCCCATGGGTCTGAACACTGGGCCAGGAATCGCCCCTCATTCCGAAGCCACTTCAAAACCAGAGGGTTTTTAGGTGAGAAGGCACCAGAAGAATCTTCAAGGGAAAGGGCCTGCTAGTGGTGGTTTTCTAATTTGAATCTTCATCCAAGGAAAGCATTCCGGCTAAAGACCAGTGCGTTTGAGGAGGGCCAGTGCCCTTGTACACCCCGTGTCTCAGTGAAGTGGAAAGTTGGGTGGGGGATGGGGGTGTGACAGGGACTTTGGGTAAACAGTGTGACTGAGGCAAAGCCCGGGACCTGAGCCAGGACCCCTTAGAAGAGAGCAGGGGTTTCATTTGTGCTCTTTTCCATGGTTGTCCTCCCCCAGCAATCCTGGCTTCCAGGGAAATAGCTCCTTGCGCCTCAGAGAGAGACGCTGCAGCCTGGGATCCCAGCAGGACAGTTTTGCTTTGCTTACGCTAGCGTAGGTTGCCTCACCTGGGCAGTACTCACACGTTGGGCTGGACCGTTCTCTCGTGGGGCCATCGTGTGCACTGTAGCACGGGTAGTAGCACCCTGGCCTCCACCCCCTGGATGCTGGTAGCACCTCCCACTCCCAACTGTGACAACCGAAAATGTCTCCAGACGTTGCCTTGTTGCAAACCACTACTCTAACCTAGAGGCGGGGGCGAGAGTGTTTAAATATAGTCTGTGGAACAGGACCCATACATGAAGGCTGACTCCGAGGAAGCGATGCCGTTTCTTCCTGGTCGCATGGCTTTACTTACATTTCAGTTTGGCGTGTTCTCTTCGAGTCCCGCCCACTTTGTATCCTTATAAGCATTTTCAGGTATGGGTACTTGAGCCTGTCACAGCAGATTCCCGCTCCTTACTCCAGGCGGCCTACCTTTTAGGGGCTGTGTTGCAATTATTCCTTGAGACAGACCAAGGCTCCTGGCCCTCTGGAACACTGCTTGTGCTTGAGGGGCTGGAGCTCACAGCGCGCTTATCCATCAACCTCCAGAGCGCCCCTTGGGATTTCTGGCCAGTGAAACGTGACAGGCTGTGGGATGGGGGCAGGGTGGTTTCCACAGGAAGAGAAGCCAACCCCTTAACCCCAAAAACAAATAAGACTAGTTCTAAAGTACCGGCCTCCTAAGTATGTTTTATCCTCATAAGAATGTTTAAACACATCGAGTCACATTTGTGCCTAAGAACTATCTGTTCTGTAGGTGGCTAATGGCACATGTCGTCGCACACACAGCAGCTCTTGGGCCTGCAATATGACACGAGCCCATGTCAGGCACCCTCAGAGGACTGGCACCAAGCCCATCGCCAGCATAGCACTTCTCCGGCTGCTGTCCCCTTTCACATCTCAGGCCATGGGAGCACATCACTGACCAGCCTGGGAAGCCACATTTACTATCAGAGAGTACTTCATGCCGTCTGTTTAAAGCATCCGGAAAACTTGGAAGTCTGTTTTGTACAAAACGTTTCCCAAATGCAGTACGGTGTCCACAGATGTAATTAGTGCATACTCCTCCTAAAAGGCAGAGGATTAGGGGCCCAGCGTTTTGATTGGACTCAGTAAGTAGGTTTTGTTTATGAATGACATGTCCATGTTTTAGGTTTTTTTTAACAGAGATTTCTCTGTTTTGGGGGTAGGCAGGATGACAAACTGCCCCATAAAAAAAGACCAGAAGTAGGCAGAGCCAAGAGCTTGGCAGCTTCCCGCCCTGGACTTACCTGGCCTCTCTCTGCTCCTTAGATACCCACCGGGCATCGTGGGCGTGGCTCCGGGAGGACTTCCTGCAGCCATGGAAGGCATCATCCCCGGAGGCATCCCGGTGACTCACAACCTGCCCACAGTGGCACACCCTTCCCAAGCTCCCTCTCCCAACCAGCCCACAAAACACGGGGACAATCGAGAGCACCCCAACGAACAATAGCAGAGAATGACGAAAGGTAATCATTCAGATAAACCTGGGACCAAGAGACAGTGAAAAATAGATGAACTAAAAGAAAAGGAATTTGACAGTCTTTTTAACTGATTCTGGACATATGCATCATTGACGTTGCAGTGTTAAAACTACAAAGGAGCTAGAAGCTGAGACGCGGGAAAATTGAAGATGTCGTCTGCTTATGGAAGCGCTGAAAGACTAGGACGTGATTTATTAACGACCAACTTCTGTTATTGTGTGTTAAGTTTTTCATCTGTGCATCAAATCACAAAGAATAAATAGATCTTTTTCCTTTATCAGTCCCTTGGGCACAGCAGGTCCTGAACACCTTGCTCTAGAATGTTGCATCAAGAGTTCCAAACACCAAAATAAAAAATATTAAGAGGAAATCCCCATCCTATGACTCTAGTCCCTTCAGTCCATGGGGCTGGTTACCTCTTTTGCTAATAGGAAGATTAAATTACCGCAAAATGGGGAGAAAACTGTTTGCCTGTGTTAGACATCTGCAAGCACAGGATGGAAGACCGTACAGGTTCCTGTACAGAGAAGCCCCTCTCCCATTTGAACTGCAGACTGAGCAGGCAAGTTGGTTGTGAGTTCAGTAATACCCTCTGATGATGCAAAAAAAAAAAAAAAAAAGTATTAAGTTTCACAAGCTGTTTGTACTCAAATATATTTTCTCAGTTTCAGATCCTCAGCTATTTTATTGAGTGGAGAGTCTTGAGCCAAAGGGTTCAAGAAGAATAATGTTGCATTTCCTTATGTCTCAGGAAACACTTTTTATGGTAACTTGTCAGATTGTCTATGAACAAAACTCACTTTTTTAGACATTGATAAAGTCTTCTTTTCTTCACGTGATATTTTATACAAGAACACTTCAGGTGTGTTATTAGATGTGACTGATTTTAACAAATCCTATTAGATTTGTATCAACTAGTTACATGTTATATTCATAGTCTTTTGTGAATCATCGCCTTTTTGTTTAAAAGATGGCCTATTTTGAGCCTTTGTATAGGTACATTCCTGTTTTTGTGACAAAAAAAAAACCTTTAAAACTGTCCCAAACAGAAAAATAATGGCTATCAGAACTATGTTTTGTTTTAGTGTGAGTTACCGTTACTGTATTTGTTTATTGTAAAGGTGGACATTTAGCGTTCAGTGCAGTTTTCAATAAAAAGTAATAAAAATTTGTTAAGTTCTGAAATTCAAGTACATCTCACCAACGTAAATGTTCTCTACTTGAGATGTTTAAAGGCAACTGCATTTTCAATTAGCCAATTTCCAACTCTTGTTACTCCAGGGTTCAAAGAGTAACAATACTTTTCTATCTGCCTATTCCATAACCAGACTCAAGAATGCTGATGATTACCTCATGTGGAAGAGTTTTAACTGAAAAATCAAAACCTCATGTAAGTCCATCATCGTCAAATAATGCCATCCTTAAGATGAAATAGTGAGTTAGAACTAAGTCAATTCAAGAAACAAAATTGGTCAAGTTTTAGAGTTTTGATTTTAATTTACCCAAAAGCAAAATTACCTGGCTCAAGCATTAACGCAGGAAGGGAGGTGAATCTCCAAAAAAAAAAAATTTTAATGATATTTACAAAGAAATGTTGCAAAATAATTAAAATCAGCCATTCCCATATGTTAAGAACTTTAAGTTGACTAAATGGATCTTCCTTTTTCAATAGTGGTGTCTGCAACTGTCAAGCCCAACTCCCTTCAACCATTTCCTTACCCTTCCCTTCCTTCCCATTAAAATAAAAGTCGAGGGTGTCTTAAAGCATCAACTTCCTCACTCATTTTAAAGTGACGGTCCCATCCCAACTTTCACATGAACAATTAAGACAACCTCATATGGATAGATGGAGCACATGGTTACTGACCTATCACTCCACAGAGCAGAATAATTCGACATCATCTTCATAACCACTTGTCAGAGGCGATCACTGAGGGGATGGCACATGCACATAAAGTAGACCCCACCCCACCCCAACCTGTGAACAGCAGTATTTCCTTAATACAGATTAAGTCTGGGACACAAGGAGCTTAAGAGTCAATAACATAAAAAGGCAGGTCCAAATCCACGGTGCACCTAGGTTTTGTTTTAATTAGAACAGAAAACCTCACCCTATATTCTCCCTAGAAAAAGAACCCATAAAGTTAACACCACACAATTAAGGTGTTACTGTCCAGAGTCAACCAAAAGACATACACATCTGTCACCCGGCCACATACAATCTTTGAGTAAGGACTGCGTACTCTATCTTGGGACAACAATTATGGCTGTTTAATAGTTCAAGAGCTTAACATAGCATTGATTCACCCAAAATGTTGGCTGTTACCAGCCAATCGGCTGTGAAAACCATTTAAAGCCCCATCCCTTGCCTGGAGCCTAGGAAATGGGATCCTCTATAATTCTTTCCCACAGGGAAGAATGCTGTACCTGTTCAACTAGATGTGGTCAGGGTCACTGATCATAAATAAATAAATAAAGAGGCACCTCAGGAAAAACAACACTCAGCAGACCACAACACACAGAGGCTAAACTCCGAGCCTGTAATTTCCTGGACAGCGCTGACGGCACTGCAGACCGCACTGACTCGACGCTTCTCCCTCGAGCATCTCTCTTTGGCTTCTTCCACTCGGAGGGTAGTTTTTGTGTAACAGAAACTAGAACAGGGTTTCTGCCCACTAAAGAATTATTCCTGTATATGGAGAAAAGTTTTATAGAGATGCTAAGTAGTCAGAAGGTAAGCCTTCTAAAAACTTGATTAATAACCGACTAAAATGAAAGCAAACCAGAGAGTCAATTTGTAAGAAAACATTACCCGCTTGCAACAGTAACATTTACCATTATTACAATATATCAAAATTTATTCAAATTGAAAATACTTTTCCTGCAAGTTTTAGCATGCAGCAAAAGTGATCCTTTCATCCTGGGAACTTTCAGCGAGTGTTCAGAGAGGGGGGGAAAAGAACTAAAATACATGACAGCTCCTAGTTATGCTTCTATTTTTAGTATTCCGGCATCAAATTGAGATTGTGCACATTTCAATATCATCTACACAGAACTTAGAAGAAAACAAGAAGCAAATATTTAAAGGTTTTCACAGCCTTTTCAGCAAAGAGAAGAAAATATGTGTGTGTATGTGTATGGGACTTCTTTCCAAATTCCTTGCCACATCATTAGCCTACAGCATGCTTATCAGGACACTAAGTCTTTTTTGTGTTCCTGAGATAGGTCTGAAATTTTTACCCAGTATTAAATGTATACCTGAAGTGGTCAAATAATACTTTTTATGAAAAGTTTTTCTACCTAAGATTATAGTTTTAACTTTAAATAAGAATGGCCACAATTAACCAACATGCAAAAATTCTCAGACTGCTCACTGAGAAATTCATTACACAGTGCATTTACGACCTTACTCAATTTTTAAATCTTTATTCTCTACTGAATGATATTCCCAATTAGCCCAAGCAAAGGCATGCCTTTCTAACACGATTTGCTTAAAGGAGGGTTGATGATGAAAGACAGACTCCAAAGACCCTCCGCACGGCAATTTGGGAGTATAACACTGTCGATCACTCAAATGAGCAAACTGCACACAATTCATTTAGTTACGAGGGGGCGGGGGGCCTGCTCCCCAAGCACTTGCCTCATTTACACCCAGGGAATAACTAGTCACCAAGAGACTGCTGCCCAGAGTCTGGGAGAAGAACCCTAACTTTAAGGGCACTCTTCCAAACAAATAAATACCTAAATACTGAAAAGGGGCATACGAGAAACTTAAACGAGACCAAATAATTGAAACCAAAACCCTTTCCAAATTAAGGGAACAATGTCTATATGAAGTTCACTCAATAAAAAGTTCCTAACTTTCCTTGCAGTTTGTTCCTTAAAGATTTGATTTTATTTTATTGGGCAGAACAGGAACTACATTATTAATAAAATAAAAGCTTGTTTTTATTTTTATGTTTTGCTATGGATAATTTGTACAAAGTTTCCAAATCTCTAACAAGCTCTAGTGAGACTTAATGTGAAATGGATTTTTAAGATGGAAGTAGAATGCCAGGTTCTACTTAAAAACGAATATCTCAAAGGAACAAAGAGTCATCTACCATGTGCTTTTGGAGGTGCCCATGCTGGAAAAAACTTCTCAAATAATATGAAGATGCTGGTACAACTTTTCCTATTACACAACTTCTTACACAACCACATGCGTTACATTTATAGACAGATTTACAATTTGAAAAGAAAAAAAGTTCTGTCTTAATAAAATTAGTTTTTTACAAACAAAGTTCCCTGTCTCCTCGCGCAGCAGATGCATCATCTCCATTGGGTGTGTGGATCAGAAAAACCCCTCCGAGCAGGTCCTGCCAGATTTGCTTCGTTCCATGCCGTGCACTCTGCTTGGAGCACCACGCTCACTTTGGGGTCACCACAGAGCCGATACACCTTGGTCTTCTGCTCTTTGATTTTTTTCATTCATCTTCGTCGTCTTCGTCTTCCTCTCCATCAGACAGGGATGTACAAGGCCGGATCTGCCGGTAGCGGTCTAGCCATTTTTCTACCATTTGCGTGACCAGGGGGTGATTTCGCCGCCGAGAGCTTTTCTGCATGGCAACAAGAACTCCCCCCTCAGTCACACAGCAGTCCAGCCACTCCCTGAGCAGTTTTTCTTGCTGTTCCTCATTACCTAGCTTTTAGAGGAATGTGAGGAAAAGGGAAAATAATACAACAGATGAGAGACTTGATAGGAAAAATTTAATAGAAATCTATAGCTGATATGATTACCAGTGAAAAAGCCAAAGCAACAGATTGTTTTAACATGGTTTCAATCTCATCAATTTTATGATTAAAACCCAGTTTCCTATGGTTAAATAGAAAAAAAGACATCACATGGGAAAATTCACAGAAAAACCTAGAGGGAAGAACCACCTAGTAATAATTTGTTTTGATAGAAGAGCAAAGGGAAATCTTATCTAAATTACTGATCCTGGCAAAAACAAGGCTGAGAAAATTCACAGCTTCCAACACATGACAAGGTAAGTAGACTCAGTAAATTACATACAGGCTGAAGTTATGAAAATTATGGTCTATGGATTTTTTTCTTAATGCCAGGATTATGAAAGTTTTATAATTACTGGTATATTAAATAAAAGACCAATCATTTTATAAGAACATGGGTTTTTCTGAGAGTGTTCTTCTGCACATTCTCACCTCCCCTGCCTGGTCTCTACTACCTCCCCTCCATCTCCAGTGGTCTACCTGGTGTTCCTGCTCAGGTCACTGCCCCAGGGTCTAGTCCCAACTGAGCAGCCAGTGCTCCTCTTCTGTTACCCAGAGTAAAAGCCAAAGCTTTAGAAGTCTGTTGACGAACCCAAACCCACTCCTTAGCCCCTCAGCCTCTTTCCCCCTTGCCCAATCACCACAAACGACACTGGCCTTGCCATTGCCTCTACCTAGAACTCTTCCCCTAGATTCTGCAAGACTCACTTCTCTTTCTGGTCTCAATTCAGATGTCACCGCAGTGATGCTGTCCCTTACCACCCTATTTAAGTGACAAGGCCCATGGCCCCCTGTAGCTCCTCCCTTTCTCCCTTCTCTCCTTCACTTTACTTTTTCTCCTCAGCACTCATCACTACCTGAGGGCAGGGGCTTCCATCTTCTCTTCACTGCTGTATCCCCCACACAACACATCCTACACAACAGCTCTGAAAAGGTAAATTCCAAAGTCTGACCAGTAATTACAGAAAGTGACAAATACCACGACCAAATTCAAAACTTTAACTGGTAGTACAGATAACACCACCCCTGAAAGGCACCCTAGGCTGGGTTCTGGTACCCCGTTCCTACTTAAGTAGTTAACAGGAGAAAAACGCTTCTTACCTCCTGAGCAGAAAGAAAGTGCACGTGGAGTAACTTCCTTTCGCTGTCAACCAGAGGCAGAAACGTGATGGTGACATCGTCATCAGTGTTCAGGTTAGCACCAGCACCTCGGTTGCCATAGCCATCATTTTCCATGGCAACCAAAGCAGAGAAGTGGCCCCGTGTATAGCCCAGAGCAATCGGACTTTTCCAACAAAAACTCTGTTCCCACAACAAAGGCAAATAAACACCTGCAAAGAGGGAAGAGAATCACAATGAGCTTTGAGGGTGTGGCTACAAACTGCATTATAATAGGAAACAAGAGACTACTAAAATACTCTTGAACATGGCTTACCTTGAAACCGAGTATATCCTAAAGTTTCTCCCCGGAAACTTTTATAATATTTTACTCCATAAACTATAATTGGTCGTCTAAGAATATGTGCAAGTACAAAAATGTGTGTCTGTTCCAAACTTGCTCCAGGCTGTACAGAACAAAATAATAGAAAACAATTCCTTTTTAAAACATGCATTACTACCTACCCTGGAAAACTGATGTGTAAAACACATTACCCTCCTTCAGTACACTATCTCGATTTTTTTTTTTTAAATCATATTGTCAAGCTAAAGCAGCATCTGATTCCTCACATAACAAAGTCCAATAAAACTGTAAAAGAAACTTGCCACCATCCAAACTCAAGAACCAAACAGATTTGCTGAAATACTGACCCCAGGAACAAGTGAGTCAGACAGCAGGGTGTGCTTGGTTTATATAATCGCCTTCTGGTTAAGCGACCTGTGAAAGTACTACCTACAACAAGGTCCTCCCGAAGTAAAACGATGAGCTTTGTTATTTCATACAAGCTTAAATGGCAGCATCGCCTAATTCAAGCTAACTAAACAGGCCTGCCTTCCCCCACAATGATTGTGACAACACGTTTTCAGGAGGTACCTGTCGCAGATGTCAAACAGCCACTGTGGCAGAAGGTACTTCCTTCACAGAAGGTACCCTCTTCACAGGGTTCAAATGAAATACAGTGCTTTCTGCAGAGAAGGGGAGTGGTATGTTGTGCATATATTTGAACTTTACGGTTTGGTATACTGAACATGCTTCACAAAATAAAACTAGCGTGAAACTTAGAATCTAAGAGGGACAACGCTACACAATTCATTTGTAAAAGCTGACTTCCAAGTTTATTAGAAATCACTCCCGTCCACGGCCCCTTCTCCTTGACCTGCCTCACATGGACAGAGCCTCACCCCTGGGGAGGCTTATGAAGGTCATGACTTGATCCTCAGGGCCTGACAGCTCAGCACGGGCACAAGAGCGCCCACTACTAGCTCAGTGACCTTGGGTAAGTTGCCCCTCAGACACAGAACAGGAGCTAACCTGCAGGTAAGTAAAACCGGCATAAAAAGCCACCTTCCTGAGAGGACAATTTAAATGAAGAGCAATCTGAAGAAATATGTAAGTGCTTAGAATGATCAGAGGACAACTTTCATTTTGACAGTTTCATAATCACTTAATCTAAGGAACATGCTACTCTCTCTGTATTGCAGTAAGGAGTTGCCATAGACATATAGTGGATAAATAGCAGTCACAACTAGAACCCACGTCACCTGAGGCCAAGTCAAGCACTCTTTCCTTTGTACCACATGGCCTCCAACATGGTTACTCACAAAAATCAAGCAATTGAGAGCACGTGGCTTAACTTTTCTTCTAGATGTACATGCCTTGCAGCATTCTCACCTGACTAGCAAGAGAGAGTATAAATGCCCAGTCTTCTTGCCACTGTTCTTCTCTCAGGGAAAAATGTAAACCAAAGCTCTGAGAATACCACGATTCCCAATCTTTCCAGCGTGTATAAAACCTAAAAAAGTAAGACAATAAAAAATAAGGCTCCTATAAACAGTACATTTAATGTTCCAATCATTTATCTAATGTAGTCTTTAAGCAATTCATGTGAAGAGATTAACAATTTTATTAAATTTTACCTGGCTTGCAATATATTTTTCAAATTAAAAATGCCTCCATTCTGCTAAGAGACATCTTTTAACATATCCTCAGACATAATTTGATTCACCACCCACCAAATTTTCATCAGAACTTTGAACACTAGTGATGAGAACAGTTAATTTCAAGTGTCTACTGCTGTTTTACAAATTCAAAACAAAAAAATTCTTGAAATCATCTGAGATGCTGGATACAATCAAAGACACCCCATTTCTCCTTAATGTACAGTATTCACTACTTGGTCACTATACAAACAACAGACTTGAAATAGCCCAGGTGTTCACAGGAATATCAACATCACTTGAGATTTCTTTCAGTCTCATTTCCGATTATCACATGATAATCCGAAAAGAAGAGTCACTGCACCTACAAACCAATTCTTTCCCCGGATTTAATACCCCTTTAATACTGCAGGCTGATAGATTACAAAGACTGAAATCAAGCTAGGTCAATGGTAGCCTGAATCACTAAGGACAAAATCTATTCTTTTTCTTTACATCAAGTATAAAATTAAAACAAAACCAGATAAAATTATGCTCAAAACTGTTCAGTGTCTTACAAAACAAACCAGGACAGGTTTACAAAACAAAAGAGGACATTTAACCTGTTTGAAAGATCACATTTCTCTCACTTAGAAAGAACTAGAAATCCCAGATACTTTCATGTATTTGAATTCTAGGTTAAAAAAAAAAAAAGCAAAAGATAAAAACGTTCTTTTGCTATTGTTGAAAAGCTCCAGCTTTTCTAATTTTCTAATTAGTGATGAAATGCATTGTTTTGAAAAGTTCAAGGAGAAATATCATGGAACAGAGAAAGCTGTTACAAACTGAAAGACAGAGGCAGTTAGAAATTTCTTGGTTAGTGCCTACAATAATTTTACGAATGAGATAACCAAGTTTGCCAGAAATTCAATGATGACTGCACTCAAAATTCCTCAAGAGACTGCAGTGTAAGTGAGTTAAGAGAAATATACTTTGAAAGTTAGCGTGCTCAAATAGTCCCACCCACCACACCAAGATCTACACTCTCAAGCTACCTGACTCCTCAAGAACAGACAAACAAACCTCATCCAGGAACATATGAGCTACTGGGACAGCAATAAAAGTCTGGTTTAACATTCAAAAATCAATTCCATGTTCATGGATTATAAGACTCAACATACTGTCAAACTGGTAATACTTCCCAAATTAATCTGCATATTCAATGCAATTTCTATCAAAACCTCAGAGGATTTTTTTGCAGAAATTGATAAGCCGGATCCTCAAATTTATACGAAAATCCAAAGGATCCAGAATAGCAAAATTAATTTTGAAAAAGTAGTAGAAAGTTGGAAGACTCACACTCCTCATTTAGAAACTTACCACAATGCTACAATCACCAAGACAGTCTAATTTTGGCATAAGAATAGGCAGAAAGATCAACTGGAAAGAACGGAGTCCAGAAACAAACCTTTACTTTTGTGGTTAAATAGTTTTCAACAAAAGTGCCAAGGCAAGTGACTGGGGAAGAAACAGTCTTTCCAATAAATGGTACTGGGACAAATGGATATCCACACGCAAAACAGACGATTTTAGATCTTCACCTCACACCTTTAAAAATTAGCTCAAAAGTGACCACAGACATTAAATGTAAAAGCTAAAACTGTGGCTGGCCCCATGGCCTAGTAGTTAAGTTTGGCATGCTCTGCTTCAGTGGCCCAGATTCAGTTCCTGGGCACAGACCCACACCGTTCATCATCAGCCATGCTGTGGCAGCAATCCACGGACAAAATAAAGGAATACTGGCACAGATGTTACCTCAGGGCAAATCTTCCTCAACAACAACAACAAAAAGCACTAAAACTATAAAATTCTTAGATGAAAATATAGGAGTAAAACTTTAAAACAACTAGGATTAATACTCTAATGGATGAAGCAGACAGCATGCAAGAACAGATGGGCAATATAAACACAGATGAAAATTCTAAGAATCAAAATGAAATGCTAGAGATGAAAAACACTAACAGAAATGAAAAATATCTTTGATGGGCTTATTAGCAGAATGGACATGGCTAAGGAAAGAATCTCTTGAAGATCTATCAAAAGAAACCTCCAAATCTAAAAAGCAGAGAGAACACGGATGGAAAAAAACAGAAGAGAAGTTCAAAGAACTGTGGGATAACTACAAAAGGTGTAACATAAACATAATGGAAATAACAGAGGGAGAAGAGAGAGGGGAAGTAACAGAACAAATACTTGAAACAATGATGACTGAGAATTTCCTCAAATTAACATCAGACACCATACCACAGATCCAGGAAGCTCAGAGAACACCAAGGAGGAAAAATGCCAGGAAAGCACCTAGGCATGTCCTACTCAAATTACAGAATCAAGAAGAAACCCTGAAAGAAGCCAGAGTAAAATGACTCCTTGCCTGCAGAGGAACTGAGATAGGAATCACCTCTGAGTGCTCTACAGAGACCATGTGAGCAAGAAGAGAGGGGAGTGAAATATTGTAAAAGCTGAGAGGAAAAAAACCAGTAACCTAGAATTCTGTACCCTGTGAAATTATCCTTCAAAACTCAAAGAAAAATTAAGACTTTCTTAGACAAACAAAACTTGTGGGAATCTGTTGCCACCAGCAGACATGCTTTGCAAGAAATGTTTCAGTTCTTTAGAGAAAAGGAAAATAATAAACAACAGAAACTTTGATCTACATAAAGAAAGGAAGAGCATCAAAGAATAAGAGAAAGTTAAAGAAAAACTTTTATTTTTCTTATTCTTAATTACCTAATAGAAAGCACTTTTGTTCGAAATAATAGCAACGATGTATTTGATTATGTATGCTTCTGTGTGTGTGTATATATGTATATACATGTTTATGTATGCTTACATCTAAGTGAAATGAATGACAACAAAGATAGATACAAGGGACTAGAAGGAGGAATTAGTTTTCTTATTATAAAGTAATCACACACCCCATGAAGTGGTATAGTGTTATCTGAAAGTGAACCTGGATTAACTCAAATATATACTGCAAATTCTAGGGCAACCACTAATAAAACTAAAAAAGAAAAAAAGAAGTGGAACTCATATGCTAAGAAAGGAGAGAAAATGGAATCATATAAAATGCCCAATTAAAACCCACAAAACAGAGAAAAAAGAATAGGAACAAAGAACAAGGGCAAAAAATACAAAATAGTAGTGAATATGGCAGACATTAATCCAACTATATCGGTAACCACTTTGAATGTCAATGATCTAAGTCATTACTGACATTACATAACTGACAACACCAAATGGTGACAAGGATGTGGAGCAACAGGAACTCTCAGTCATTGCTGGTGGTAATGCAAAATGGTACAGCCACTTACGAAGACCATTCAGCAGTTTCTTACAAAACTAAACATACTATAACCATATAATCCAGCAATTATACACCTTGGTATTTACCCAAAGGAGTTGAAAACTTACGTCCACACGAAAACCTGCACACACATGTTATTACAGCAATTGTACTGATAACTGCCAAAACTTACAAGCAACCAAGATGTCCTTTGGTAGGTGAATGGATAAATAAACTGTGGTACATCCAGACAATGCAATATAATTCACCACTCAAAGAAATGAGCTATCAAACCATGAAAAGACACGTAGGAACATTATATGCATATCACTAAGTGAAAGAACCCATTCTGAAATGGTTACATTCTGTATGATTCCACCCATACGACATTCCAAAAAAGGCAAAAATACGGAGTGAGTAAAAAGATCACTGGCTGCCAGGGTTAAGAAGGAAAGGATGAACTGGCAGAGCACAGAGGACTTTTAGGTCAGTGAAAATACTCTCTATAATACTATAATGATAACACTGTACGATACTATAATGGTAGATACATGTCATTATACATTTGTCCAAAACCAGAGAATGGACAACACTAAGATGAGCCCTAATGTACATCATGGACTCTGAGTTGATAATGATGAGTCAACGTAGGTTCAGCAATTGTAACAAATGTACCACTCTGGTGGGGGATGTTCATAATGGGGAGTTACACACATGTAGGGACAGGAGGTACATGGCAAATATCTGTACCTTCCTCTCAATTTTGCTGTGAACTAAAACTGCTCTAAAAAAAATAGTCTTAAAAAAAAACTATACAGAGAAAATGCTAAGCTACAGACCGCTCTACCAAATAATAACAATATTTCTAAAAGACCTGTACTGATTTTTTTTCCCTATTTACATTAATTATTCCCACTTGCCTCTCTGAAAATTTGGACTGACATCTCAATTAAAGACAAGTACAATATTCAGTTTTAAGGACATAAGTCAACTCAAATCATAGGTAGCCAACAGAACAGCACAGCTACTACTAGATAAGAATAGCCTATCTTGAAGTGATGGGGGAGGGGTTTAAATAAAAGAAAATGACTTTCTCAGTTTTCCTTTAGTATTTCACATGACTTAAGAAAGCTTCTCATCCCAACTGATTTGAATTACATGCAAAGGGCACCTTAGCAAAAAACTGATTAAAAGGGAGACTACAGACAAGTGATATGCTGTCTCCTCCTCTCCTAGCCTACGAGAGGGGCCAAGTTTGCTCACTCCCTCTCATTCTTTTTTTTTTTTTTTCTGGGAAAGATTTTCCCTAAGCTAACATCTGTTCCCAATCTTCCTCTCTTTTATTTTTCTCTCCTCAAAGCCCCAGTACATAGTTGCATATTCTACTTCTAAGTCCTTCTAGTTCTTCTATGTGAGCCACCACCACAGCATGACAACTGACAGACAAGTGGTGTGGTTCCACACCTGGGAACTGAACCCGGGCCAGCAAAGCAGAGCACACTCAACTTTAACCGTTAGGCCATCAAGACTGCATCTCATTCTACCTTATAATAGTCACATAAGAACCCAGTCAACAAACTTGTCACAACTAACATAGTCAACAATGTAATGGTTAATCATTAAGGCTACTATTATTTGACCTATACTAATGCCTTGAATCTATGGCAACTGCTTCCTCTCTCCCCATTTGATAATCTTCATTCCCCTCCCCCTAATGCTAAAGGATGTCTGTGCCATCACTACAATCAATGCAGCTTCCTATGCCTTAACTGTAAAAGCAATGAGCCCAGATGGCAGGGATCAGAGGAGATGGTGCCAAAGGCACACATTGTTTTGGGAAGCCTGTCCATTTGCCAGCTCTAGGTCCTCACTCCTGAAGCATCCTTTTAGAGTGAAGGCCTCTATTACGGAAAGATCTGCTGCAACACTTGCCACTTGTACACACACACACTCTACACATTCCTTCTCACTCTAACAGCCACTCCCCCTCTCTGGCCTATTTACCACCTCAGATTACGGTGCTCTTTTTTCTCCCTACCTTCATGCTAGACTTTGGGGACCACAAATGACTCAAAACCAGTTGAGAATTCCAGTCCTAATACGAATATTAGTGGCAACTCCAATCCAGATTACCCACTGGCAGCTTTGAGAAACAGGTAGCATGTCCGCAAATTATTATTTACTAGCCACCAATGTCTTTCTTTTTTTTAAAGCCCTTACAATTAGGAAAAATAGATATCACCTGCTAAAATTTATCGTGCACTTTCAGCCTTACAACAAGGTCAGAATACTACCACTAGAAAAAAGGCTCCAGTCCAAGGCTGGTTTTTTAAAGGGACTTGCAAAGTGGTAGATTTACCAAGGAGAAGATCTGGCTTTCGGGCTGAGAAGCCAGACATCATCCACACCCAGAGAATAGATCCATCTTTCTGGGGCAGCATCATATTAACTAAACCCACAAGGCAGACCTGTAAAACCACAATGCCCAGAAACCACTGTCATAGGAAGCAAACCCCTCTGGTCCTCTGAGTGTGGGCAGGCCCACATACACAGCTAAATCATCATCAGGATGTTGCCTGGTAAGCAGGCAATCTAATCAGGAAAGGTTCGATGGGCTGAACATTTACTGGCATCTGATGAATCCACTTCACAACAGGAATGGTCTTGCCCATACCACACTACCAGATTAATGCACAGCAGTCACTCCCACTAAATAGCACAAAGCCCTCTCCCCTGGACAAAGGCTAAATGACTAAACCATCCGTTCTGAATGACACATTCTTTCTTCAGCCATATTAAACACCAATCAGGTCACCATCTAGGCTTGCCAGACAGGGAGATATTTTATGTTTTCGCAGGTGACCACAAATTTTTACTCTATGGCATGATGCTTTGATCTATAATTTAGCTCTCAAGAAAGTAATTATGTTGCTCTCATTTTCAAATTCTAGAGAGTATGTTTTTTGCTGAGAAGATTCACCAAGCTAACATCTGTTGTCAATCTTCCCCTTTTTATATGTAAGCTGCCACCACAGCATGGCCACTAACAGATGAGTGGTGTGGGTCCATGCCCAGGAACCGAACCTGGGCCACCAAAGCGGAGCACACTGAACTTAACCAGTAGGTCACAGGGATGGCCCGAGAGTATTTTCATTCAATAAGTATTTAATGTGTTCGTACTATGTGTCAGGCTATTGTAGGCACTAGATCTTCCACAAACAAACACAACAAAATCTCTGTTCTGATGGAGTTTATGTTCTAATGAACCTCATGTAATCCCTAAATACTGACAACAAAACGTGTAAGTAGTAAGTGCTCAAAAATTACATAAAGATACTAGGGTAATAAAGTTATTTGGAGTAGGGCCATTATCATTATTGTATAAGCACTGAATTAGGTATAACGGGGGGAAAAAAGCACATTTTGATACTGTTGTACAGAAAGTAGTACACCATTTTTAAATGACTTCTGCTTCCTACTAGGTTCAACAATGGGCAATTTAACCTCTTTCAGCTTCAATTTTCTCATTTATAATATGATAAGTAAATGAGATAACATATGTACAGAACCAAGAAACTACCATGAGTCAAATAAATGTCTACATTATTTGCAACCAATAATGTAGACCAAACCACTGATTCTTAAATACAGTCATTGCTTCCAGCGATAGCAATGGGTGAATTTACAGTTGAAGTCTAGTCATATACTTGAATGGATAAACATATATGTATGTATGTATAGAGGATATTTTTGAGACAACTGGAAAATGTGATACGGACTGTTATGTTGGATAACTTGGGTCAATGTTGATTTTCTCAGATGTGGTCATGAGGATGTGGTTGGGTAAGGAATATCCTTGCTCTTCAAAGATGCACACTGAAACAGAGAAGGATAAAGCATCAAAATGTCTAAAACTAATTGGCAAACGGGAGCGTTTACGTATACAGATGAAACACGTGTGGCGAAATGTTAACTGGTCAATTGAATGAAGGAGATATTGGGATCTGTTGCACTGATTAGTTTTTAACTTTTCTGTGGGTGTGAAAATTTGCAAAACAAAAGAAATAGTCTCAAGACCACAGGAAGTGCCTCAGGAAGGAAAAAAACTCGTAATACAATGTCAACACAATCTCTTACAGTTTAACAAAATATGAAATCATAACCACTTACAAATATGAGCAAAGTTCTTAACAATATTTAAGGCTAACTAGTACAACTTCAAATGTTTCTATTTTAAAGTTCACTAAAAAGATATAAAAATCATTGAGGGGCTGGTCAGGTGGTGTACTGGTTAAATTCTGCTCCATTTCAGCAACCCAGGGTTTGCCAGTTCAGATCCCGAGTGCTAACATACACACCTATGACAGGCGCCCCCCCCTCCCCCATATAAAGTAGAGGAAGATGGGCACGGATATTAGCTCAGGGCCAATCTTCCTCAGCAAAAAGAGGAGGATTGGTGGCAGATGTTAGCTCAGGACCAATCCTCCTCCTCAAAAAAAAAATCACTGAGATGTTCAAAGTGTCTCAATGTCGAAAACCAAAGGCGTTTCCCCTAGCATCTATAGAAAATCTAAGAGAGGAAAAATATCCCACCATTGTAAGGAAATGATTCAGCAAATGCACTCCTGGGTTTAAAGAGGAAAGGATGCTAGCTCACCAATGTGAACAGTCATGCAGGCTGTCATGCAGGGCTTTCCGAAGCACCGAGTCCTTGTCATAAATGCCCCAGGTAGCTTGTAGTACTGAATCAAGTAAGCAGTCTCCTGCAGTCCGGTTCCAAAGTGCATATAGTCGACTGTCCAAACGTGTAGCCAATTCCAACGACCAGTTTATAATTGGAGATTCTTCTTCTAACTCTATATGAGGAATTTAAATAACATGTTTATTTTCATGCCTATGCAATTAAAGAGTATTCAATAGAGGAAAGAACCTGTTCTCCAGATGTTAATAGGTTTATGTGTAATTTACTAATGAACATCTAAATAAATTTGATCAATTGAAATATAAACCTTTTGAGCAGCTGAAACATCTTGTAGGTCTGGAATAATTTACTCAACTTTTAAATTCTTTACAATTTAATTTCTAAAAATGTTTAATATGGAACTATACTCATTCTAGAACAGGAAGTAGAAAACCAAGGTTTAAAAACTTTTATACTTTTATTAATTCACTCTATTACATTTAAGAGCTGCGAATGAGAATTTTTAAACCATTTTTCCAGTTTTATTGAGATATAATTGACAAAATGAGCATTTTTAACAGCACAATGTGACACTATTCTTAAGGACTTTACATTTTTTATTTAAATACAAGTAAAAATACAAGTTGACCATACAGTGAACTACTCCAAACCTTATAAAACAAAGCAAAATGTTTATTGAAATCGATGAAAGGTAAATTACACTCAATCCCATGCTTACCTTTTTGAACATCTCTGTCAAGCACCTCATCAAATAATTTTTCTTGGACTGTTGGAGGTAAGTCTTCAATATCTACAGAGAAAAAGCAGACTTAAAAGATCTTACATCTCATAACTTAATAAATTTGATACCAGCATCTAATAGTGACTTCATCTACAATAACTCCCTTTCCACTGAAGGCTGTCAAGTAGCTTCTTTTAAGAAATGTGCATGTATAACGTGTGTATGTGATGGACACTATTTCCTTTATGTATTTCATTATCAAAACTGTGCTCTATCTACGGGCCAGCCTGGTGGTACAGCAGTTAAGCTCACATGTTCCGCTTCAGCAAGCCACCAGTTCAGATCCCAGGCATGGACCTATGTACCACTTATCAAGCCATACTGTGGCAGGTATCCCACATATAAAATAGAGCAAGCTGGGCACAGATGTTAGCTCAGGGCCAATCTTCCTCGGCAAAAAGAGGAGGATTGGTGGTGGATGTTAGTTCAGGGCTAATCTTCCTCAAAACAAAAGAGAGAAGAATAAAAAGGAAAAAAAAATTGCTCCATCTAAAAGTAATCAAAAGACTAACATTTGGACCACTAAGTACATAAAGCTATCATCAAAAAGACTAGAGATAACAAGTGTTGGCAAAGAGGTGAAGAAAAGGGAACCCTTGTGCACTGCTGATGAAAATGTAAACTGGTATAGCCACTATGGAATAAAGTATGGAAGATCCTCAAAAAATTAAAAATAATGATCCAGCAATCCCACTTATGGGTATATATCCAAAGAAAATGAAAACATGATACAGAGGAGATATCTGCACTCCCATTCTTGTTGTAGCATTACAACAGCCAAGATATGGAAACAACCTAAGTGTCTGTCAATGGATGAATGGATAAACAAGATGTGGTATGTATATATATACAACGGAATATTATTCAGCTATGAGAAAAAAGGAAATCCGGCCATTTACAACAACATGAATGGATCCTGAGGGCATTATGCTAACTGAAATAAGCCAGACAGAGAAAGACCAATACTGCACGGTACCACTTATATGTGGAATCTTAAAATAAAGTCAAACTCATAGAAACAGGGATTAGAAAAGTGGTTGCCAGGGGTTTGGGGAGGTGGAGGTTTAAAAGGGTACAAACTTGCTGCTGTAAGATGAATAAGGCTGAGGACCTAACATAAAACATGGTAACTATAGTAGATAACACTGTATTGTATAACTTAAATTTGCTAAGTAGAACTAAATGTTCAAATAAATAAATAAATAAATGAGATGACAGACGTGTGAATGAACTAGATGGAGGAAAATCCTTTCCCACTGTACCCATGCATCAAAACACCACAACGTACATCTTAAATACCTGACAATTTTATATGTCGATTATATCTCAATAAAGCTAGAACAAAAGAAAAAAAAGAACAGGGCTATCTGATATTCAAGTTAATGATAATAATAATAATAATAATAATAATAATAATTACATACAAATTTTTATCTGTTCTCTTCTTCCCAAACTCTCAACCTCTGCTCAAGCCTGTTATTTTCAGACTTCAGAATCTTCTTATAAAAGTTAATGAACCATTCATTTTGGCACACAGATCTGTTTTTGTCATCTTCTTTAAATTCTCTAATGCTCTATTCAGTTTACTAACTGAGTAGTCTAGAGTGAAAAGCATTACCCTTCAAAATGAAAAAAATTAAAAATTTTTAAAGCTATTTTCAATTCAAAACAAAAATCTAATCATCACTTGGGGTAAGCTTAAATACATAGAGACTGCATTTCAAATGAAATTTGTCTGATTTTAAAAGGCTTACTTATTTCCTAGCATTTGTAAAAACCTATGTTTATGTCTGAATATAAAAGCTCAAAACACTCAGTACCAAAATGGGGGCTTTATTTTAGAAACTTTTAGTGTTTGGTGCATTTATTCAATGCCAAGTGACAAAAAGCATCCTGAAGACATTTCCAATTGTCATTGAAATATGAAAAGCTGCTTCACAAATATAGTAAAAATTAATGTAATGAGTGAAGAAAGTAATGACACTTTCAAAAGAATGCTGGTATTTTTTATTCAAATAACGTGAATCTACCCATCAAAAGCCCATGTTTTTTTTAATGCTATCTCCTAATATCAAGTAACCAATAGCTATCTAATTTCAAAATAACAGGTGTGAAAAGAAAAGAAAAAAGTAGACTGATAATATTATAAAATAAAACCAAAGAAAAAAGGGAATGGATAAAGCAGATGTTTTTAAATATTTGAGGCCCATAAAGAAGTCAGTTATTATTAGCTGCTGTCTTCCTCCCAGATCTAAAACCTTTGTACTGGTCACTTCCAGTATAACTAGGGTAGTCAAGTAATTTAAGATGCACATGTTAGTAGCTATGTTATCTACTTTCTAACAAAACACTTCCAATCAGACATAATAAAATTGTAATAAAATGTAAATTTCTTTTCACATTGAAATTTGGAGTTACCTGCTGGCAACGTAAATGTTACAAGGTCAGTTAGAAAATAGCAAGCAAAATCCCCCTTTCTCTGATGAAGAGAGGCAGCTATCTCTCGCCGGATTTGCTCTGTCAGTTCAGGACACACCATTGCTGGAATACACTTTGCTGCTTGCTGAGACACCTTAAATACAAAAGAAACTTTCGTCTGCATCTCATTTATCATCAACAGAAGCAGAAAACAACAATATTTAAAAGAAATCACCAAAATTTTCCAATAACTCAAGGTGGTTTTTTTTCTTTTAATTTTAAAATAGTTTAGGTATTGGCTATTATTTCCTCACCAGTGGAAGTATACAGTAGTACAACTTTCCAGGAAAACAGCCATAAAAATGCTTTACCCTCTGACTCAGCAATTCTTCATCTTAGGAATTTATCCCAAGGAAATACACAAAGATGCATATAAAAATTTAAGCAAAATGGTCTTATTCACAAAGGTTCAGCATAGGAGAGGGAGGGAGAAGAGGAAACAACCTAAGTCAGACTAACCATCATTCTCCTAATAAAAAACTCTTAAGAAAGGGAATTCCAGCTCAGAGAAAGAGAAAAGTACAAACACTCTTCTCCCACTCTGTTAAGAGTATTTCAATATTTATTCTTTGACTTGGAATAAAGAAAACATGATATTTTTAAAGAGTTAGTTCCCACCTACTTCAAATCCCTCCCCATTGGTTATAACTCAGAATTGTTTAAAAAGCATTTGGCTTCTCCAAGAGCAAGAGAGACAACAGACCTTTGAAGTACAGCCTGATGGGAATGAAACAAGAATGCTGGTGTAGTGGGCACTACCACAGAGGACCTCTAAACAAGGAGATGGCTAGAACTTTCCTTTTTAAATAATGAACAGCAATAAATGATGCAAAGATATTATCTTACATTTAAGTTGTATTCCTTTTGTGGAGCTCAAGAAATCTGCATACAGAGAATTCTGAAATCAAAGCTGAGCAACTGCTAGAGAGGAAATGAGCCTGGTGTGAACCTTGAGTAAGCCAGTTAGCTCTATTCTCTGTGACCTTCCTAAACGTAGACTTACACTCACAAACGGGATTTGGAGCAGGAGATCTTCCAATAAGCCTCTCAAAGATTAAATCTTACTAATAATGTCATCTACGTAATATGTGTAGACAACTTAATTGTAATTGCTACTAAGGTAAACTGTTTCAAAAACTCTGCATACCCAACACAACCATTAGATGTCCTTTTCTGAAAACTCCTACATGAAAATTCAGTTCTACTAAACTTTACTGGCCAAGACTACCAGTAATGATGAAATGCTCACTACATCTTAACTCCATGAACCCAATTTTCAAGCAACAAATTATGGAAAACCAAATATTAAATGTTTTCAGAATATAATTGACTATTTCTCAAGTAACAGTGTAAAAATGGATCCCAAAAGTAAATTCAAGAACAGCTTATTTTAAACTCGTAGCCCTCAGCCCCTTTCCAAAAACCAGGGAAGATTTTTCCCAAAAACAACTTGTACAGAAACCTGGACACTGCAAATACTCCAAGAGGAACCTTATAGCCAGTGAATGGCCTCCAAGCTTCCTCCTCCTGCCGCCATCCGTAAGCCTGCCTCCCATCTTCTAGCCTCTTCAACCTTCTCATTCTCAATCATCTCCCTTAGGCTAGCAGTTCTTAACTTAGGGCCCATGAACTTGGGAAGGGTGCGTGAACCTGAATGGGAATTTTAATTAAATTTAAATTCTTCATTTTCACTAGTCTCTTGCCTATATTTAAAATGCATTTTCTTGGGGCTGGCCCCGTGGCTGAGTGGTTAAGTTCGCGCGCTCCGCTGCAGGCGGCCCAGTGTTTCGTTAGTTCGAATCCTGGGCGCGGACATGGCACTGCTCATCAGACCACGCTGAGGCAGCGTCCCACATGCCACAACCAGAAGAACCCACAACAAAGAATACACAACTATGTACCGGGGGGCTTTGGGGAGAAAAAGGAAAAAATAAAATCTTTAAAAAAAAAAAATGCATTTTCTTATACATCACAAGTTTGATTTAATATTCTAATAACTATATTTTAATACAATTGATTTCCTTTGCAATCCTATTTATTTTTATTTTACACATTTAAAAACAGTATCTTGAAAAGAAGTCCATAGGTTCCACCAGACTACCAACAGGGTCCATTACCTAAAATCCAATCAAAACCCCTGCCCCAGATATATATCCCCAGAACAGAATGATCTCCTATTCTCACTCCAAAAGTACGTGGCTCTGTGCTATCTCTGCAGACACATCCCTTAAACTAGATTCACACACTCCCCCATCCAGTCTTTCTACTGGCCCCTTCAATTCTGTCCTTTGGACTGCCTACTCTATTGAGACTACAGCCCATTATCAATTTTGTTCTTTCCCTAAAACAATCCTTCCTTCCTCTCTCATATTATATCCGGGTTGTCTATGTGTCCCACAGAATACGACAAAAATGATGGTATGTCACTTCCTAAATTGGGTTATATATAAAGGACACTGCAGCTTCCATTTGGATCCCTCTCTCCCTCTCTCAGATCACTTATTCTAGGTGAAAGCAGCTGCCATGTCATGAGCACCCCTATAGAGGGGCTCCCATCAAAAGGATTTGAAGCCTCTAACTACAGCCATGTGAGTGCGCTGAACCAGATTCTCTAGCCTCAGTCAAGCCTTCTGACAACTGCAGCCCCGGCAGTTTGTAACCTCACGAGACCTTGAGCCAAAACCATTCAGCTAAGCTGGTCCCTGATTCTTCACCCTCAGAAACTGAGAGATGACGAGTATTTGGTGTCTTAAGCTGCTAAGTTTTAAGGTGATTTGTTACACAGCAGTAAGTAAGAAATACACTGGGATTCTACTGTCTTCCCACCGTCAATCCCCAGATTGCTCTTAGGAGATCGGTGACTTAGGCCAGTCCCTCCAGAATCTTCCCATACTCCTCTACCAGCCTGAGGGGAACCTAAAGACTTGAGCCTTGGTTCACAACTGCTTTTTCTATCCTGTCTCCCGCCACCACCAGCAACCATAACCCCACATGCTGGCCCCTCTGAATCCACAACACAACTGTAGCCAGACCTAAGACACTACAGAAACTGCCTGTAACTATTCCATCCCACATTCCAGAACTCTGGCCCTCTAATCACATTGCTGCTTTTCAAACAGTACCCTTTTCCATTATACTCAGTAAGCCTACCCTTTGTGCTCATCTCAGCTGTCTTTCAAGCCCTCCCCTTCCTCTGAGTCTATCAGGTGCCCCTGGTGTCACTGGACTCTTACCAAACTGAACACAGTGGCCAGCCATCTCAATCACACTTTCATCTAACCCTCACATTTCATAATCCCCCCACCCCAGGGCTTTGTTCACATGGTTTCCAAATACTGGTGAATTTGAATATGCAAATATGCATGAGCACATATGGAAGATGTATACTGACAAAATTTGAATCCACAGTTGATCTGACTCTCTGCACTTTTATCGTTTCCCTTATCACTAAAAAAATTACCTGGATAATATAGTCACGTCCTGAGTAATTCACTTGCAACCTCTATCATTTGTAAAATCTACCTAGTTATCTAAGCCAGAAACCTCAGAATCAACCTTGACCCTATCTCATCATTACTCTCCATATCCAATCTATCCACTTAATCCTGACTACACTGCCATCATCTCTCTCAAACCAGCCCACTTCTTTCCATTTCCACTGTCACTACTGTATGGGCATAGGTCTCGCCAGCACCCCTGCAGTGCCCTCCTAAGCAGACTTGCCCCTCTCCCATCTGCAGCAACCAAAACACCCTCTGATCTCATCACTTCCCTGCCCCTCTACCTAACACTTTTCAAAGCCTTTTTACTGCTCTCAGAATAATCTTCCAATTCCTTGGCCTAGAAGACCCTTCATAACGCAGCCCCTGCTTACCATTCACACTTCCCCTCTCAGTTCCCAATCACCATCACAACCATGCTGAGTTACTTTCAAGTTCCTGAATTCACCACAAATACCACCACCCTGAATAAATGAATTCAAAAAATTCTTAATAAATGATTTCCTCAACTCTCTTCTCTCCTCCACCTACTTTATGAGGCTAACTCCTACCCATGATCTCAGCTAAAATGATGCCTGCCCTAGGTAAGATATCTCAAAACACTTTCTCAAGTTCTGCCACAGCCCCTGGCACTTACATCTATGACAGCATACTCTGTACAGAATCATCTGTTTATTTCTCTACTTTTCTGGAGGTTCACTGAAGGAGGAGCTAGTGTCTTCACAATTAAATCCCTTATAAGCACAGTGCCTAGCACATAGTAGGTACTCAATAAATATTTGTGAGCTGAGAGAATAAATGAATTAAAGAATGACAGGTACATCCCAGTTTTTTTAAAATCAAATATATGATTCAAATGTTATGGCAAAATGTCCTGTTTTAAAAGCATATACCCTTAAGAATCATATACTACTGAAGTCTTTTAAATTTAATGTGATTTTTAAGGGGGGTAGAAGAATGTAAAACATTTCAGAACTGTTTGGAGAAACATTATAACATCAAAAATGAAAACTAAAGAACACATTGCCTTCACATAAAAGAATGTTTAACCAAAATGCACACTCACCTCCGTAAGCAATATCGCTAACATATCCTGCCTCTGAAAACGTATAGCCAGATGTACCAGAGTATAGCCAACATCAAAAGCAGAAGGACGATTCAGCAAGCGCACTTCATCTGCAGTGAGCTGCCGCGCAATGTCCCCTCCTGATGACTTGTATGCTTCTATAGCAGCTAAATCACCTTCTACAACCCCTAAAACAAGCATCGAAATTGAAAAGAGTTTAATTCTATTTTCCTTCAAAAGGCAGAAACCTGTAGCATTCACTCTAAACTCTTTAAGTGTTTCTCTGTGCTTCCTGGATCCTGGGGCATCATTTAAATGTCATAAAGAATATAAGGAAAATTAGCATATTCCTCTTTAATTTCTTTCCAGAACTAGAACTGCCTCGTTAGGTACTTACCTTCACATCAGTGCTGGCTCCACGTTCTGGGGGCATTTAAAGGAATTGTTAGACTGTATTAATTGGATCAAGGATTGGTAATCTAGTATAAGAAACTAGACTTCATAGAAGACACTAAGTACCTGTTCTGGTCCTGACTCTGAAGAAACCAAGGAGACAGGGAAGTGCTTCCCTTTGGGCATTGGGCTGCTTTTGCCCTTTATATTGCATTTTTAAAGCTGAATCAAAACAAACGCTGAATCTTCCACATTGCTGTTTAGCTCTGAAACACTTCAGAGCAATTAAAACCATTCTCAATGCAAGTGAAAGTTAGCAATATTTTGATTTCAGAATCTCTCATAGCCAAGTCTTCTTTACACCCATTAAGAATTATTAATACAGCAAAACTTGAACCAGATGATTTCAAACAAAAATATGCTAAAATAAAACACTACAAATCAGTTGGGGGGTGGAGAGAGAAAACACGTATCACTTTTTCCAAATCCATAAAGAACTTTCCCTTTCCCGCTGAACCATGTTATTAATCTTAACACAAATTAACGTTAGGTTAAGACTAATCCTATTTACTAAGCAGTACAGTACATCTATGTATAATAAACAAATAGCCTTGACAAAAAATGAAGGAATAGGTTAGCTGTCAAATTTACCACAAAGAGTGTTAAAACACACACATACACACACATGCACACCCAAAACTATATGACCAAATAATTTTAAGTGTTTCCTAAGAAACAACAGGAAAAATTTGTTGGGTAAAATTCTAATACTAGCTTAAAAATATTCTTGGTATACTTTAAAAGCAGCATTTTTAACTGCTTTCTTGAATTAGGAATTAGATAAATAAGAGCTATTCCTGAGAGTACAACAGATTGGTACAACGTAACTATTTCCCCCAGTCATGAAGAATAACAAAAACTTTAGAATAATTTAATTCCCACATTCACCGAATGCCCATGACATAAAGATCACCACACTAGGCAATGTGAGAAATGCAAAGAGAGTAAAAACACAAATCCTATACTCAAAACAGTCCTTTTTCATCGCATTTGTGAGCCATAAAAGGCCAGCTGCACAAGTTTTCAAACTCTGGGGTCAAAGATCCTTTCTGCAGGGGCCAGCCCCATGGCCAAGTGGTTAAGTTCGTGTGCTCCGCTTCAGGGGCCCAGGGTTTCTCCAGTTCGAATCCTGGGCGCTGACATGGTACCGCTCATCAAGCCATGCTGAGGCAGCATCCCACATGCCACAACTAGAAGGACCCACAACTAAAAATACACAACTATGTACTGGGGGGTTTGGGGAGAAAAAGAAAAAATACAATCTTTAAAAGATCCTTTCTGCAAATCTAGATCCTCTCCCCAGAAAAATGACCCCCTGCCTCAGACACAGATACTTTTCAGGTTAAGAATCCATATCAAACGAAAATACCTTCTTATAGGAATTTTTATTTCCACAACAATGTAGGTTAATACCTTCCTCAATATATATACAAATACCTAAGTACAGCTATAACCCCCACCTCCAACACATAAAGGGCTTCAAAACACCCTTATGGGGCAGAGAGCCCTGCAGAAGTCATCAGGGCTACAACGTGATACGGCGGGCATGACACAAGGGGGATCAATCTTCTCTGGTTGGCCTAAGCCTTAAGAATAGACACAGAAAATACTACTTGAAATAAAAGCAAATACATGGCTAAAGAGTCAAGTACACAAAGAACTCTAAAATTTCTGCTTAACTTGTTTTAATAAACAGACGAGAATAATCTAGTAGAGCTCCTAACTTTTTGAATGAGTCAATGTAGTTTACTTTAGAACTGAAATGCGCTACTCCATTTCCCTTTGGGTATACAGTATTTCCTTATGAAGGCAACCACTTTGCACTTCAGTCCTATCAAAGCTAAAGTATTTCCAGGTGCATATAGTATCAGTGAACCTTTTACAGTTTTTAGCTTTAACCTAAAAAGCATGTATTTGTAAAATTTCCTTGTTTGACATAAGAAATGTTCTAAGCACTTTCAAAAGCAAAGCAAGGACCAAAAAGTCTAATCAAGTTTACCTGAAAAGATAAAGAGGAAGACCTGCACAGTTTTTGTGCATGAGCATGTTTTTGTTTCCCAAAGACAGAGATGAGGTGATCTAAAGCTAAATACCAACTAACTGTTCTTTTGGTTGGAGAAAGGAGAGATCTTCCAAATCACTGTCTTTACTATTTTTAGCTAAGTCAACATATAGCTGACGTCTGGAAAAATCTCATCTTAGAAATTCTTGCTTAAGAATTCGTTTCCTAATGTTTCTGAGGGATTTCTGTAATTAGAAACTAGCAGAATCAAAGTGGGGAGGGGTACAGACTAAACAGTACAACAAAGTGAGCAAACTGTGCTTTGGAAGTATGATTTACCATGTCACCCAGTCTGCCTTCAAATTAAGTGTTTTTTAAAAATATACACAGATGGGCCAGCCTGGTGGCGCAGCGGTTAAGTTCGCACGTTCCACTTCGGCGGCCTGGGGTTCACCGGTGCGGATCCCGGGTGCGGACATGGTTCCGAATGGCAAGCCATGCTGTGGTAGGCGCGTCCCACATACAAAGTAGAGGAAGATGGGCATGGATGTTAGCTCAGGGCCAGCCTTCCTCAGCCAAAAGAGGATTGGCAGATGTTAGCTCACGGCTAATCTTCCTCAGAAATAAATAAATAAATAAAAATAAAAACACACACAACTTCAAATGGTCTGCATGGTATGTGAATTATATCTCAATAAAGCTGATACACACATACACACAAATAGGATTTCTATCTGACCTAACCCAAAACACCAAAAACAATTACTTCTCCCGATCCCAAGGCTCCACATTAAACTGCAGATGGGGGATACTGCCCACTTGCTACCATGGACTAAATACAGGAGGGCAGAAAATGAGGATGAACAGAATAGAGATTTTGTTCTTATTCTTCACAGCATAAAACTCTCCAAACTTTCCAGAACATGAAAAACATAAATTTAAGCATAGGCAAAAAGTAATATTTAAAAGAAAAATATTTCATTGTCTAATGTTTTGGGAATATATAATTCCTTTCTTTTCATTAACTATCACTAAGAGCTCATAGTCTTGGTTACGGGTGAGTTTTCAGCTACAAAAATGAGTAAATTTATTACAAGTCCAATTTCACAAGAATGTCATAAACTGTCCAAATTTTTGGTATATCTTTTTTTACATATTGCTCAAGGAGAGCTACTGATTAAAGTTTAGACAGTTTCTTGGTAGATGGGTTTTCATTGTAAATACAGTGTTTAAGAGAATTTGGCACATACTCAGTTTAAAGTTTTTAGCCACAACAGGTTTTCTACTTGGGAAGAAAAAAAGCATCAGATTATATGTGAAACAACTTACAACATGTCTTTGAGCTCTTCACATAACAATATATTTTTATCACCTTTTAATATTAGGGGATAAAAGAAAAGCAGGAAGAAGGTAAGAAGAGTTGGCAAGAAGGAAAAGAGAGCAAATAAATGTAAGTGGTAATATCTCACTTAACGTAACAGAGACTGAGAAAAAACAGAAAAGTTCCAGCAGAAGAGAAAGAGGTGGGGCTGGCCCCGTGGCTGAGTGGTTAAGTTCACGTGCTCCGCTGCAGGCGGCCCAGTGTTTCGTTGGTTCAAATCCTGGGCGTGGACATGGCACTGCTCATCAAGCCACGCTGAGGCAGCGTCCCACATACCACAACTAGAAGGACCCAGAACGAAGAACATACAACTATGTACTGGGGGGCTTTGGGGAGAAAAAGGAAAAAAAATAAAAAAAATAAAAAGAGAAAGAGGTGATACATATATGCTTTCTAGGTTAATGACATCTCACAATGCCTCCAAGAACAACCGAACATCTTCCTGTTAATACATTTTTTGAAAATTCAACAAACATGTATTACACGTTCTGTCCCTTCCTCCTCCATGCTATGAAGCCAAATTAAAAAGACAGCTGAAGGCACTCGGAGAAGAGTAACTTTATAAAACTAACCTGCAGTATCATCATACTTTCAAAATTGATTGAATGAAAAACACAACTAGCTAAGTAGTGGTGCATAACTACATAAAGCAAAAGTGTAAATATACTTTTGAAAACATGAAGACCTAAGAGTAAATGAAAGCTACTATATTATATATTACACAGTTAAAACAAACAACAAAAAAAAAAGCAGCTCATATTGTTCTGTAAGCTGGGCCAGAAGTAGAATTTAACATATTTTGCAGCCACAGGTCACAACTTACTGGGGACTTCACAGCTACTATGGAACTCCGTTGGTTAGAATATAGAGCTGGCTTATAGATGTTTAGAAAACAGACATTTTTTTCCCCCATATATGGCACAGTTTTCAAAGTTTTGCCTTATTTTCTTTTATGACATAAAATCATAAGGGTAACTAACTTTGAAAAGAATGCCAAATGGTAAAAAAAAAAGCCAGGACTTACCTGAGCCCACAGGGGCCAGCTCAACACTACCCTGGAGTTCTATGGTAGCTGTGACATCACAGCATGCTTTATGCTGTGGGGTCAGGGTGGACTTGGAGTCAGCTGGCACAATTTCAGGAACCCTTAAAGAGAAAAGTTAGTTTTAAGTGGTAATGTTCAGAATCCTTTACCAGGGTCAGTAGAAAGATGCAGATGTGGCTGGCTATGACGTCTGGGTAGTTTTCCTCTATCCAGAGTTAAATTCATTTAACTGGTTTTCCATATTAAAAAGGAAACTATACCACTCAGTAATACTTTTTCTTTATACTCCTAACCATTTGGCTGTAGT